TTCCTTTCCAAATATATATGTATGTAAGTGTAGATTTTTGGCTTGGCTGTGCACACTGAACCATCTCCAAACATATTGTCTGCGTCCCAAATAGCATCCTATTCACTACATAGGCCCTATAGGTCCTGGTCAAAAGTAGTGCACTATATAAGGAATAAGGTGCTATTTGGGCATCTCCAAATGTCCACACATCATAACCTCTGACCCCAACCCTTTCAGCTGAGCAGCACACATGGATGAGGAAGGAAACAGGACAGGGTTGGTGACAGACACCAAAAAGGGGAAAGACACCAAATACAGTGCCTTCGGAAAGTATTCAGACCCCTTGACCTTTTCCACATTTTGTTACGTTACAGCCTTATTCTAAAATTGATTTTTTTTTAAAAAGAATCCTCAGCAATCTGCACACAATACCCCATAATGCCGAAGCGAAAACAGGTTTTTATACATTTTTGCAAATGTATAAAAAATAAAAACAGAAATACCTTATTTACATAAGTATTCAGACCCTTTGCTTTGAGACTGTAAATTGAGCTCAGGTGCATCCTGTTTCGATTGATCATCCTTGAGATTTTTCTACAACTTGATTGGAGTCCACCTGTGGTAAATTCAATTGATTGGACATGATTTGGAAAGGCACACATCTGTCTATATAAGGTCCAACAGTTGACTGTGCATGTCAGAGCAAAAACCAATCAATGAGGTCGAAGGAATTGTCCGTAGAGTTCCGAGACAGGATTGTGTCGAGGCAGAGATCTGGGGAAGGGTACCAAAACATTTCTGCAGCATTGAAGGTCCCCAAGAACACAGTGGCCTCCATCCTTCTTTAATGGAAGAAGTTTGGAACCACCAAGACTCTTCCTAGAGCTGGCAGCATGGCCAAACTGAGCAAACGGGGGAGAAGGGCCTTGGTCAAGGAGGTGACCAAAAACCCGATGGTCACTCTGACAGAGCTCCAGAGTTCCTCTGTGGAGATGGGAGAACCTTCCAGAAGGACAACCAATTCTGCAGCACTCCACCAATCAGGGCTTTATGGTAGAGTGGCCAGACAGAAGCCACTTCTCAGTAAAAGGCACATGATAACCCACTTGGAGTTTGCCAAAAAGCACCTAAAGACTCTCAGACCATGAGAAACAAGATTCTCTGGTCTGATGAAACCAAGATTGAACTCTTTGGTCTGAATGCCAAGCGTCACGTCTGGAGGAAACATGGTACCATCCCTACGGTGAAGCATGGTGGTGCTGTGGGGATGTTTTTCTGTGAAAGGGACTGGGAGACTAGTCAGGATCGAGGCGAAGATGAACGGAGCAAAGTACTGAGAGATCCTTAATGAAAACCTGCTCCAGAGCGCTCAGGACCTCAGACTGGGGCGAAGTTTCACCTTCCAACAGGACATCGACCCTAAGCACACAACCAAGACAACTCAGGAGTGGCTTCGGGAAAAGTCTCTAAATGTCCTTGAGTGGCCCAGCAAGAGACCGGACTTGAACCCGATCCAACATCTCTGGAGAGACCTGAAAATAGCTGTGCAGCAACGCTCCCCATCCAACCTGACAGAGCTTGAGAGGATCTGCAGAGAACAATGGGAGAAACTCCACAAATACAGGTGTGCCAAGCTTGTAGCATCATACCCAAGAAAACTCGAGGCTGTAACGCTGCCAAAGGTGCTTCAACAAAGTACTGAGTAAAGGGTCTGAATACTTCTGTAAATGTGATATTTCCATTTAATATTTTTTATAAATGAGCAACAATTTCTAAAAACCTGTTTTTGCTTTGTCATTATGGGGTATTGTGTGTAGATTGATGAGGGAACAAAACGATTTAATACATTTTCGAATAAGGCTGTAACCTAACAAAATGTGGAAAAAGTCAAGGGGTCTGAATACTTTCTGAAGGCATTGTATACACAAAGACATGCGCACAGTCCCACACATATTGCACAGGGTTAGGGTTAGTAGTCAAGGATACCCAATGGACGGTGCATGAGCCAGTACAGTAGAGAGCCTGAGAGTGCCATGGTCCAAAGTTAACTGGACACACACACACAGTATCATGATCAGTCCCAATGTGTTTGCACATTAAAAAGAGTGTCACTTTTGTTTTTCTCCCTGTTCTACATGTTTTGGTGAATAATGTTAGCAGTCTACAGATGGTGGAATAATTGGTGTTGTGGAATGCAGCTGTGAACACTTGTTTCACTGTCAAGGTGCTGAAGCAAAAGGTGTCTCACTTCTTTTTTAATTACACACAATGCTCACATAGCTAGTGGCATTTGTTTTGCCCCCTTACCCTGCCCAACACTCATTTTGGATAAAGTTACAAAAACAATTTACAGACAATTAACACATTGAGATTAGCTGGCTGCCTGCAGATGTGTAGGTATGCTGACGGTAATGAGAGGGGTGCTATACTACCTTCGGAATCACAACAGTGCAGTGATCATGCAGACAGAGAGGTGGGAAGCAGCACCCATGTTAGGGAGAATTAGTGAAGCCTCAATTCCATTAACGCGTTCAACATGCTGTTAGTCCTTACTTTGTTTGCTCTGATTAGACAAACGAGAAGTGAAATCCGTTGCTTAGAGGAGGAGGAGGGGGAGGTGCCTGAGAGACAGGAGGAAGAGGAGGAGGAAGCGGAGGAGGAGGAGGAGGGACGGTGGGGATGTTAGGGTGCAGTGGTACTACTGAGAAGTAGATACAGGTAGAAAAAGAGGAAGAGGAGAACAGGACATTAGTCATTTGGAGCAGCACTGGAAAATCCAAAGGTTAGGACAGGGCAGTGTTGTGTTCGAGACCACCTAAAGCCAGACCGATTCAAGACCAAGACCGGAGAAAATCCAGTCCGAGTCAAGATGGGGGGAAAAAAGTATTTAGTCAGCCACCAATTGTGCAAGTTCTCCCACTTAAAAATATGAGAGGCCTGTAATTTTCATCATAGGTACACGTCAACTATGACAGACAAAATGAGGAAAAAAAATCCAGAAAATCACATTGTAGGATTTTTTATGAATTTATTTGCAAATTATGGTGGAAAACGTTTTCTGTAAGTCTTCACAAGGTTTTCACACACTGTTGCTGGTATTTTGGCCCATTCCTCCATGCAGATCTCCTCTAGAGCAGTGATGTTTTGGGGCTGTCGCTGGGCAACACGGACTTTCAACTCCCTCCAAAGATTTTCTATGGGGTTGAGATCTGGAGACTGGCTAGGCCACTCCAGGACCTTGAAATGCTTCTTACGAAGCCACTCCTTCGTTGCCCGGGCGGTGTGTTTGGGATCATTGTCATGCTGAAAGACCCAGCCACGTTTCATCTTCAATGCCCTTGCTGATGGAAGGAGGTTTTTTCACTCAAAATCTCACGATACATGGCCCCATTCATTCTTTCCTTTACACGGATCAGTCGTCCTGGTCCCTTTGCAGAAAAACAGCCCCAAAGCATGATGTTTCCACCCCCATGCTTCACAGTAGGTATGGTGTTCTTTGGATGCAACTCAGCATTCTTTGTCCTCCAAACACGACGAGTTGAGTTTTTACCAAAAAGTTATATTTTGGTTTCATCTGACCATATGACATTCTCCCAATCCTCTTCTGGATCATCCAAATGCACTCTAGCAAACTTCAGACGGGCCTGGACATGTACTGGCTTAAGCAGGGGGACACGTCTGGCACTGCAGGATTTGAGTCCCTGGCGGCGTAGTGTGTTACTGATGGTAGGCTTTGTTATTTTGGTCCCAGCTCTCTGCAGGTCATTCACTAGGTCCCCCCGTGTGGTTCTGGGATTTTTGCTCACCGTTCTTGTGATCATTTTGACCCCACGGGGTGAGATCTTGCGTGGAGCCCCAGATCGAGGGAGATTATCAGTGGTCTTGTATGTCTTCCATTTCCTAATAATTGCTCCCACAGTTGATTTCTTCAAACCAAGCTGCTTACCTATTGCAGATTCAGTCTTCCCAGCCTGGTGCAGGTCTACAATTTTGTTTCTGGTGTCCTTTGACAGCTCTTTGGTCTTGGCCATAGTGAAGTTTGGAGTGTGACTGTTTGAGGTTGTGGACAGGTGTCTTTTATACTGATAACAAGTTCAAACAGGTGCCATTAATACAGGTAACGAGTGGAGGACAGAGGAGCCTCTTAAAGAAGAAGTTACAGGTCTGTGAGAGCCAGAAATCTTGCTTGTTTGTAGGTGACCAAATACTTATTTTCCACCATAATTTGCAAATAAATTCATTAAAAATCCTACAATGTGATTTTCTGGATTTTTTTTCTCAATTTGTCTGTCATAGTTGACGTGTACCTATGATGAAAATTACAGGCCTCTCTCATCTTTTTAAGTGGGAGAACTTGCACAATTGGTGGCTGACTAAATACTTTTTTCCCCCACTGTATTGCAGAGGGTTAGGGATAGGGTTAGTAGTCAAGGATACCCAATGGACGGTGCATGAGCCAGTACAGTAGAGAGCCTGAGAGTGCCATGGTCCAAAGTTAACTGGACACACACACACAGTATCATGATCAGTCCCAATGTGTTTGCACATTAAAAAGAGTGTCACTTTTGTTTTTCTCCCTGTTCTACATGTTTTGGTGAATAATGTTAGCAGTCTACAGATGGTGGAATAATTGGTGTTGTGGAATGCAGCTGTGAACACTTGTTTCACTGTCAAGGTGCTGAAGCAAAAGGTGTCTCACTTCTTTTTTAATTACACACAATGCTCACATAGCTAGTGGCATTTGTTTTGCCCCCTTACCCTGCCCAACACTCATTTTGGATAAAGTTACAAAAACAATTTACAGACAATTAACACATTGAGATTAGCTGGCTGCCTGCAGATGTGTAGGTATGCTGACGGTAATGAGAGGGGTGCTATACTACCTTCGGAATCACAACAGTGCAGTGATCATGCAGACAGAGAGGTGGGAAGCAGCACCCATGTTAGGGAGAATTAGTGAAGCCTCAATTCCATTAACGCGTTCAACATGCTGTTAGTCCTTACTTTGTTTGCTCTGATTAGACAAACGAGAAGTGAAATCCGTTGCTTAGAGGAGCAGGAGGGGGAGGTGCCTGAGAGACAGGAGGAAGAGGAGGAGGAAGCGGAGGAGGAGGAGGAGGGACGGTGGGGATGTTAGGGTGCAGTGGTACTACTGAGAAGTAGATACAGGAAGAAGAAGAGGAAGTAGAAGAGGAAGAGGAGAACAGGACATTAGTCACATTTGGAGCAGCACTGGAAAATCCAAAGGTTAGGACAGGGCAGTGTTGTGTTCGAGACCACCTAAAGCCAGACCGATTCAAGACCAAGACCGGAGAAAATCCAGTCCGAGTCAAGAGCATGACCGGGAGGGGGGCGACCAGAAAAATGTGATTCCAATTGAAGACCATGGTTGTAATTGTGTCAAATCGCAACCATAATTCAGTTCAAAACATCCAGTATTTCTTTGTTCATATTTCAGAAGAACATATGGATTCTTTATACAATCAGAATGGTGAAAAAGATGCATGCTGAGGACAAATAGAGAGCCACTCTAAAAATGATCACTAATCCAAAACAGGTCTATAATATATAAAAATACAAAATATATAGTATTACATCTTTCCCCAGTCTCCCCTTACTAATAGTGAGAGTGAAACTTTTAAGCAATGTCCCCTACTCTTCCCTACCAGCGAATCAAGGAAATTCTGAGCTTGACAAAGTTTGAGGATATTTTTCAACGAAAGTAAAGGACAGTAATGTTACAAGTAAAGTAGGAAGTCCAGGTTTCAATAGGCGATATGATTTTAATACGCAATGAAAGGAGTGTATATATTTGGCCTGGCAAAGCGGTTTTATGGGTTAACTGAATGGGAGCTGATAATTATGAGTTTTTCGCTCCGCTGGTCTTGGTTGGTCTCGGTCATGAAATTACAAGCCCTCATTGTCCGAGACAAAGTCAAGACCGAATAAAAACATTTCCGACACAAGACTGAGACACTCAACCTTTGGTCTCGAGACTAGTCTCGAATACTACAACACTAGGACAGGGGCTGTCTGGGGCCACTCCCACTATCCTCAATAACACACAAGACACCAATCCAACTTGGAACACTAAACATACCGTACAGTAAAACACCACACAATAATAGATGTCACTTCAATCAATTTTCATGTAGCTGCATGTCAATAAAATGGCTATGTTTTCAGGTGTCTAATACCTTTATTTCTGAATTATACATAATCCCATTGAAAGAAGTTTGAGAAAAAAAACTACTGACAAGATGCCTCGTGTGATTTATTCGGACATTTCTCTATGCTGGAAAGATTGTTAGAATTATTGACTCTGCTCTCCTGTGTATGTTAAGCTCCATCCTGACGCTTGAGTGTACGTCTGTGTGACAGAGAGCGAGAGAAGAGAAGAGAAAGAGAGAGAAGAGCGAGAGACAGATAGAGAACGAGAGAGGAAGAGAGAGAGATGCAACTCATCTAAAGGGCTGCTACTGATGATGCTACTGGAAGAGTGAACCTGCCTGCTGAAAGGTAAAGATGAAAAGTGACCTGAGTGTCTTTTATGAGGGTTCAGAACCGTGTTCAAAGAGCCAGCTACGGGAGGATGCAGTGGAGAGCCTGAGCACAGTCTTACTGGGTCATTGATCAGCCTCACAAAATAGCCTCATCAAGAGAATCCTCCCCGTCTGAAAGATTAGACATGGATCGCAATTATCTCTGTCTTTACTCATAAGACCCACACTAATAAGAAATAATATTGAGTTATTAGGAGATGAACGGTCTGATAGCCCGGCTTTGCACTGTTTTCCTCCTCTCCTCCATCATCCGCCTAGCCGTCTTGAAAGCAAGCTACCCTCTCTTTATCCCGTCTTCAGCTATCCAGAGGATGTCAATGTGATGCAAGGTAGATTTTACTGATATTGTCAGACACATACTTGAAAGATAATGATTTCTGAAAGTGTTTGGCCCTGCCATGATGAACATCCACAGATGAGTGTCAGCAGTATCTTAGAATCTGTCCATTAACCAAAAAGGGGAGGACTAGGTATTCAATCGGAAGTATAGTTATTGGAAATGACACATGATTGGCAGACGTTCTACCACAAAGTTCAGTTCAGGTTTGAAGAGTGAAGACTAAAAAGTATTGTGGAAGTTTGTAGTGAGAAGATGACCAGTTCTTCAGAACATTCAGGTATGTCTATTAATGCCTTCTACAAAATATAATTTGACGTTTGGAAATGTTGAAAACCTTTTATGTATACAAATTCAAAGAAGAGTCACTGAGAGCATCAAACAGTGAATGATCACTTATTTTCTTTTATATCCATGCAGTCATGAGTTTTCCCCAGCCTCTGAGATACATTAGTGGTATGATTTCTGTAGACCTGGTGCAGAGTGTGTATACAGGACAAGTAGGTGTGTTGGTATTACTGCAGAGGGTGTGTCCAGATATGTGTGTTGGTATTACTGCAGAGAGTGTGTCCAGTTGTGTGTGTTGGTATTACTGCAGAGAGTGTATCCAGTTGTGTGTGTTGGTATTACTGCAGAGAGTGTGTCCAGTTGTATGTGTTGGTATTACTGCAAAGAGAGTGTGTCCAGTTGTGTGTTGGTATTACTGCAGAAAGTGTGTCCAGATGTGTAGTCCCCTGTAGCTCAGTTGGTAGAGCATGGCGCTAGCAACGCCAGGGTTGTGGGTTTGTTTCCCACGGGGGGCCAGTATGAAAATGTAAGCACTCACTAACTGTAAGTCGCTCTGGATAAGAGCGTCTGCTAAATTACTAAAAAAATAAAATAAAAAATAAAAAAAAGGTGTGTGTTGGTATTACTGCAGAGAGTGTGTCCAGTTGTGTGTGTTGGTATTACCTGCGACCTGCTTGCTCTTGAGGGAGGCCTCTGAGGCCAGGGCGTAAGACATGGTGATGATCCTCTCCTGCTTCTGTAGGGCTGAGTCCAGACCCACCACCTCTGGCTTGTCCACCGCAACAGGGGGCCCCGCCAGGATCTGAACACTAATCACACACACACACACACCATTACACAATTCATTGAATGGCCTGTCAAACTGATCTTCCATATTGGCCCAGTGAGTAGTGGTGGTGCTGTAATAGACCTGGACTTGGCCAGAATGTTCTTGATGCGCTCCATGTTGCGATGGCGAGCCTCCACCTCCTGAGGGCTGAGAGGCTCCTCAGGCTCTGTGTCTATGTAGCGCTCAGGGATTAACACCTTCTGAGGTTTGGCCAGCTACACACAGAGAAACACACACAGTAGAGGTTTCCTATTAACTGGTATTCACCTCTAGTACCATTATTGTAGGGATTAGGGAATATAACCATTGAGGCTGAAAACAACCCTATTCAATTGTTTAAACAACATTGTGAAAGTACTCCTTAATGAAATGTTAAAGTGAACAGCTCTGACTTTGTGATGTTTGATGGTGGTGGTGGTGAGGGTCAGGCCGTACCTCTCGGCTGAGGTCCAGGTCATAGTCCAGCGTCTCCAGGTCCGCCTCCCGGGTAAGTGTGGACGTGGCTGTCGAGCGGAGGGTCAGCCACTCGTCTGACTGGGACCGGGGTCTATCCCTGTGCTCCGCTGGACGCTCCTCACCCTGGACCACGCCCCGTGCCTCCTCCCCCTGCACCGCCCGCTCCAGCAGCTGCAGGTCAAACTCCTGCTCTCGCCTCCACTGGAGGAGGAGGGGTAGACAGACATAACAGTTACACACAAACACTACTGCTTCACAGACACAACAGTTACACACCAACACAACCATACTGCTGCTTCACAGACACAACAGTTACACACCAACACAATTATACTGCTGCTTCACAGACACAACAGTTACAAACCAACACAACCATACTGCTGCTTCACAGACACAACAGTTACATACCAACACAATCATACTGCTGCTTCACAGACAACAGTTACACACCAACACAACTATACTGCAGCTTCACAGACACAACAGTAACACAGTAACACAACTATACTGCTGCTTCACAGACACAACAGTTACACAACAACACAACCATACTGCTTCTTCACAGACACAACAGTTACACACCAACACAACCATACTGCTGCTTCACAGACACAACAGTTACACACCAACACAACCATCCTACTGCTTCACGGACACAACAGTTACACACCAACACAGCTATACTGCAGCTTCACAGACACAACAGTTACACACTAACACAATCATACTGTGGCTTCACAGACACAACAGTTACACAACAACACAACCATACTGCTTCTTCACAGACACAACAGTTACACACCAACACAACCATACTGCTGCTTCACAGACACAACAGTTACACACCAACACAACCATCCTACTGCTTCACGGACACAACAGTTACACACCAACACAACTATACCACTGCTTCACAGACACAACAGTTACACACCAACACAACCATATTACTTCTTCACAGACACAACAGTTACAAACCAACACAACTATACTGCAGCTTCACAGACACAACAGTTACACACCAACACAACTATACTGCAGCTTCACGGACACAACAGTTACACACCAACACAACTATACCGCTGCTTCACAGACACAACAGTTACACACCAACACAACCATACTGCTGCTTCACAGACACAACAATTACACACCAACACAACTATACTGCTGCTTCACAGACACAACAGTTACACACCAACACAACCATACTGCTGCTTCAAAGACACAACAGTTACACACCAACACAACCATCCTACTGCTTCACAGACACAACAGTTACACACCAACACAACTATACTGCAGCTTCACAGACACAACAGTTACACACCAACACAACTATACTGCAGCTTCACGGACACAACAGTTACACACCAACACAACTATACCGCTGCTTCACAGACACAACAGTTACACACCAACACAACCATACTGCTGCTTCACAGACACAACAATTACACACCAACACAACTATACTGCTGCTTCACAGACACAACAGTTACACACCAACACAACCATACTGCTGCTTCAAAGACACAACAGTTACACACCAACACAACCATCCTACTGCTTCACAGACACAACAGTTACACACCAACACAACTATACTGCAGCTTCACAGACACAACAGTTACACACCAACACAACCATACTGCTGCTTCACAGACACAACAATTACACACCAACACAACTATACTGCTGCTTCACAGACACAACAGTTACACACCAACACAACCATACTGCTGCTTCAAAGACACAACAGTTACACACCAACACAACTATACTGCTGCTTCACAGACACAACAGTTACACACCAATACAACTATACTGCTGCTTCACAGACACAACAGTTACACACCAACACAACCATACTGCTGCTTCACAGACACAACAGTTACACACCAACACAACCATCCTACTGCTTCACGGACACAACAGTTACACACCAACACAACTATACCGCTGCTTCACAGACACAACAGTTACACACCAACACAACCATACTGCTGCTTCAAAGACACAACAGTTACACACCAACACAACTATACTGCTGCTTCACAGACACAACAGTTACACACCAATACAACTATACTGCAGCTTCACAGACACAACAGTTACACACCAACACAACTATACTGCAGCTTCACGGACACAACAGTTACACACCAACACAACTATACCGCTGCTTCACAGACACAACAGTTACACACCAACACAACCATACTGCTGCTTCACAGACACAACAATTACACACCAACACAACTATACTGCTGCTTCACAGACACAACAGTTACACACCAACACAACCATACTGCTGCTTCAAAGACACAACAGTTACACACCAACACAACCATCCTACTGCTTCACAGACACAACAGTTACACACCAACACAACTATACTGCAGCTTCACAGACACAACAGTTACACACCAACACAACCATACTGCTGCTTCACAGACACAACAATTACACACCAACACAACTATACTGCTGCTTCACAGACACAACAGTTACACACCAACACAACCATACTGCTGCTTCAAAGACACAACAGTTACACACCAACACAACTATACTGCTGCTTCACAGACACAACAGTTACACACCAATACAACCACACTATTAGTCCCCAACATTAGTCTAATACTTTCCACCTGTTGACTCAGGAATTCTACTTTTTGCTACAATTTCTACAAAGGCAACACCCAGTGTGAGACTCTACAGACGTTGAGATGGTCTTCTCTGTAGCTATACTGTATATTGTGCATTTTCCCTTTTTTCAAACATACATACAATGGCATACAATATGACAAATGCAACAGTATTCACCACAGGCAAAACCACCAGCGTGTACAGGACTGTTGATGGGGGTGTGGTGCACATGCACGTGCAGTATGTGAAGTCCCAAGCTCTCAGACCTCGGCATGCATCACTCTACTTGTGCAGTCAGTGATTGGGGAGAAGATGAGGAGAAGAAAGGGATCCATCTAGCTACATTCATTTACATGTACATATTGGTCCCAGGCATCATTGTGCTTACTGGACAAAAAAAAATATGCCCACTGCAGTAAATACCACAAATACATATTTATAATACACATGCAATGAAGAAAAAACACATGGCAAGCATGCATTTATTAGGAAAATGTGTGTTTATTTCTTATTTGCAAACCTCTACATTAAATATGTGGGGAACAGCGAGGGAGCTTAGTAGATTATCCTCCATTTGCAGATAAACAGAGAAATAATTATCTGGCTTGAGTTCTGATAGGACTGTAAATGATTGGCACAATGGATAAAGGTAGTGGCACATGGATACATGTACTGTACATTAGGCATTGCTGTATGTAGAGTCAGTTAACAAGGAGGGATAAGTGGTGATAAGATCTACAAGTCACCACAATCAGAACTGCATCCGCATTGCTAAAGTCACTCCTTATAAGCTTTTACTCATGTACAAAGACTAATCGACTAAAATGTGAATGATGATGATTTCTAGCAAAAAGCACAGTATTAGACAGATGTTGCATCGTATCAAACTACCAGGGAATATAAATGTATATGCTGATGAGTCAGCATATGATCATAAAGATCATTAGAAAATGTTTAATCCAGTAGTGCATAGCCACACTTATAATGATTAGAGAGTCAGCTCTTTAAGATGTCAGTGAAAATAAATAATGTAAAAAGTATAGTTTTATTTTATCTTCAGGATTATGTGTTTTGTCTGAGCAGCACAATGAGACCTGGTTAGAGAAAGACAGACAGACCGTTCTAGAAGGAGGGGATGGGGTTAGTATCTTAGCAGTGGGCTGTACTAATGAAGTGATAGGAACACACACTGAAACACTGTCATGGAGCCTGAGAGCTTAGGTCAAACTGCAGTTTAGTCAGAGTGGGAGAGATTGAGAGAGTTATTAGCTGCTGTATGTATCTCCAGTACTGAGGTAACATTAGAGAAATGCTGAGAGAACACTTCTTGTTTAGCCAGGGGTGGGTGTAGGGAGGAGAGGGAATGGGTATGGGCCGTTAATGCAGCAGTACGGATATGATTCAGTGTAGCTTAATCAATCAACTACAATCAACCTCCCACAAAGCTGATTTACTGAAGCTGCATCAATGCATCAGTGTTAAGTACTAACAATTCACATAAAGATTCTCACAAGCTAACCAACAAAAAGCACTTTGATACAGTTAAAGATGTCCGTCATATAAGAATGCCTTTATACATATCTCCCAGGTCATTTAATAGAGTTGTGGAAGTGAGGTTAATCATTACCATTATCAGTATCATAGCAGAGTCCACTTCATTAGAGAGACTGTAGTTTAAAATGCAGTATGTGAATATCTCTCAATCATTTCAATCATTTTCTTGCGATGGAGTCAAGAACATTTGAAATCAGGGGCACCACCTATTCTGTCCTTTTTTTATTGCATATTCATAGTCCTTCACTTCCTAGGTGAGAACACCAGTAGTTCCACCTGCATGTCACACCACAGCATCTCTCACCTCTCACGTCTCACACAATCACAGCAGTCAATTCACATACCCACTTACCTGCTGCACCAGCTAGTTCAGGCCTACTCACTCACTCATAAACTCACATCAACGGCACTATGAAAACCCATGCAACTGAAATGTATTAGTGGTCGCATGCATTGTTATGTCTGCATGCATTGTAGCTGTAGCTCTAACGTACTGAGCCCAGGTCTGCAGAAAGGGGGCGTTGCTGTGATGATGATGAGGAAGCTCGCGATGAAGAGGCCTGGCGTTCTCCCTGACTGAGGGTCCTCTTGCGCTGGCGGACCAGAGCCTTCTGGTGCCTCTTCATCCTCTGCAGCTGCTCCTCAGCACTCATCCTCCCCCTGCTCTGCTGCTGCAGCACATCCCCAGAGTACAGACGCTCCAAGGCACTCTTTGGTCTCTCCTGAGAGGAGGGAGGGCATAAATTAACATAGCCCATGACACCAGAGAGAGAGGGAGGGAGAGGAAGAGGGGGGCGACAGAGGGAGAAAGAGAGCAGGAGGGAAAGAAAGGAGAGATTAAACGAAAGACGAGGAATGGGTTAGAGAAGACTGAAGGGAGAGAGTTTAGGTGCCACCACCATTTTACATTAGAATAAGGTGCAAAAAGACACTGAGTTCTCATCCATGTCACAACATTAAAGAGGTTCTCCTGTACTTTTGTACACTTTTTAGCCAGTAGTTCTGAAAGCTGCGCTCACGAGCCAAAAGTGGTCCCCAAAAATTGCGTACTACGTCACATATGTGCAGATATGTGCACCACGTCATTGCTCTCTCTCTGCTGTGTGTGCATCTTGCTAGCTGTCACTCAAATGGTGAGGGGCTGAAGCTCATTGGCTAGAACTTGAATTGCTAGGGAGCTGGCCCACGTGGGGGACAAGGTAGGTAAAATGTCGCAGCACAGCTTCCAGAATTTCTTATGCTTTCAAACTAGGGATTTCGTGGCTAATTGAAGTAAGACAGACATTTTCTGCTCATATTATGCATGTATGAACTACGTATTGACACATCCAGCCCAAAGCGGGAGGTTTAAAAAATACTTAGTAGTCGCCAAAGTTCCAGAGCATGTCTTTAAAGCAGTAACTCATTAGCATTGCATAGGCTCTCTTGCACCCCCTCAAGTTGTAGATGTTGGATTATTAAAGGGCGGCTTAACTTCCTGTTTTGGCCTCATTTTAGATTTGGGTCATTAAGAAATTCTAGCAGCCATGACTGAATTCAAACTTGAGTTGATTTCGGGGTGTGGTTTGATGTTGGTGTTTCGTGTGTGTGTTCGCAGGTGGGAAGAGTTAGCCAAATTATTTTGCCAATTAGCTTCATCCGGCTGGTGTGTGACCGTGGCAAAGTTAGTTTGACTTTGGATAGCCTATCTCCAGGGTAGTTAGGGACCGTCAATAAACTACAACGTAAATGAGACAATATTTTTATGTTGCATACCTTTTAGCTTTCAATATCTGTATATGAATTTCTACAATTTATAGTTGGTTTTAGGTTTTTAAGTCATTGAAATTTGGAGCTATTGGAATTTTTACATATTGTCCCATAGGGATATCCAAAGTCAAACCAACTTTACCACGGGCATTACGATCGGGTCATGTGCAGCTGCACTCCAAACTGATTATTACTTGTGTGCTGCCAGCTGTGGGCATGCGGGCAGGATTTAAATAAAACCAACCTTCATTTACGTTGTGACATACACTCAGGAACAAAACTCAGTTTTGTACAAGACTGACTTTATGACCAAAATTATTCTATTTACACTTTGTAGTCATTTTGACAGTAGAATAAATGCGTCTGGCTCATATCGAGGCGACATAGGCTGTTTTCTAAATGAGAAGTCGTTTTTTAGGGGCAGTTGCTCTTTAATGTGACTTGCTCAGCAGTCACACTTTAAATAATGACCAAACTTATTTTAAACTTTTTCTTTGGAACACTATTTTTTGTACACCATTCAAACTTTCAAACGTGCATACCGGTCTGGAACAGTGTTCTTGTATACAGTACATATTTTTGATCAAATGTATACTTTTTAAACTATTAAGCTTTTTGTCCTTGCCCCCCAAAAATCATCCACTTTAATAGGGATTTCTTCACATTCTAAAGCTCTCATTGTTAAAAACTCCCAGACTTCCAACATTCTATTCACTGTAAACAATGTGACTTTCCCAACAAGTTAGACAAAAACTTTGAGGGTAGGAAATCTTAGTCTGCTTCTCTGCTATTTAAATCTGAATTCTGAACAGAAATATCTTCTACCAATGAAACGATACAGCTGCTTTAGTAACCGCATCAACTACTTTTCTCTCAACGTTTTGAAACAACTGGCGTTTTGACCACTTTCCCAACCACAACTTATAGCATATGAAATCTTAGTCTACTTCTCGGCTATTCAAATCTGAAATCAGAACAGGAATAACTTCTACCAATTAAGAGCTACAGCTGTTTCAGTAACCACATCACCTACTTTAATTAAGCTAACTTCACACTATTCAATTAACAGTATGAAAAATGTATGCACTCACTAACTGTAAGTCGCTCTGGATAAGAGCGTCTGCTAATTGACTAAAATGTAAATGTAAAACTGCCGTGGAACTTTCAGAAATGTCAAATTATAGAAGTAGGGGAGCACATTCTATGAATGAGAATCACTAATTAGTGTGACTTACTTCTGCAAGAACACTCTAGTACTGTAGTTATTTGATATACTTCTGACTTGTTATTTGTGTTCCTTGCTTCAGCAAAACCACTCTATATATCAAAATACTACTACTTGGCCTACTACTACCACAGTCATTCACCACCACTACCACTACCACTACTACTGGACTACAGTCACAACTACTGCAATTCTACTGTTACTATCCCACTAACGGCTATCCCACTACCGTAATACAGTATCTACTTCTACATTAGCCTATATTTTTCAACAATAGCAATTTAAAACTTCTAAACTTCTTCGATTATTATAACAATACTTTTGGCCAGCTGAAATATGTCACCATTTTTCTTCATGGAAAATTACCTTCTAGTTTTTTCCATGTACTCAGCGTTTTGTACTAGATGCTGCATCTAATCAAGTCAGCTTGTGTCAGCTCCACAAAAGTAAAAGCCATGACAGCATTTAGAAACAATATTTGTGCTGCCTCTCCACCTACTCTCTTGACTCCTAGTCAGCCAGAAATAGTTGGAGTCTTACCTTCAGACCTGAGGCGGCTGAGGCTCCTCTTCTGAGGGTAACGTAAGAGGAGATGTTTGTGGACTGATTTAGCCTGGATGAGGAGCCAGCCGGCCCTGAGAGAAAGACAGCAAATATGAAAACACGACTCCCAAGTTAGCACAAGAGCCAAAGCATGTTCAGTGGGTACATTACAAACCACATATTTGCTGCTGGTGTGAACACTATATAAAAACAAGCTGTTTAGCCTTTCAAGCTGTTTGCTTATTCTGAAGAGTAAGACATTCTTCAAAGAAACAAATATGTCATTCAACTTTACATCAAGGTCCCATGTAGCTCAGTTGGTAGAGCATGGCTTTTGAAACACTGGGGTTGTGGGTTCGATTCCCACGGGGGGCCAGTATGAAAAAATGTATGCACTCACTAACTGTAAGTCGCTCTGGATAAGAGCGTCTGCTAAATGACTAAAATGTAAAATGTAATTACATGTGTTGGACCTAGAGCTACTTACCTCTGCTTGGCAAGGTCTGGTAGCCACCATCATGCCCCAAGGCCCCCATCCTCATGTGACCAGACCCTCCCACTCCCAGCAGCTCAGGTTCACTCAGGAAGGTCCGCAGCTCCACCTGACACCCACAGAGACAGAGATCAGTACCACACATACAGTGAGGGAAAAAAGTATTTGATCCCCTGCTGAACAAAGAAATGATCAGTCTATAATTTTAATGGTAGGTTTATTTGAACAGTGAGAGACAGAATAACAACAAGAAAATCCAGAAAAATGTATGTCAAAAATGTTATAAATTGATTTGCATTTTAATGAGGGGAATAAGTATTTGACCCCTCTGCAAAACATGACTTAGTACTTGGTGGCAAAACCCTTGTTGGCAATCACAGAGGTCAGATGTTTCTTGTAGTTGGCCACCAGGTTTGCACACATCTCAGGAGGGATTTTGTCCCACTCCTCTTTGCAGATCTTCTCCAAGTCATTAAGGTTTCGAGGCTGACGTTTGGCAACTCGAACCTTCAGCTCCCTCCACAGATTTTCTATGGGATTAAGGTCTGGAGACTGGCTAGATCACTCCAGGACCTTAATGTGCTTCTTCTTGAGCCACTCCTTTGTTGCCTTGGCCGTGTGTTTTGGGTCATTGTCATGCTGGAATACCCATCCACGACCCATTTTCAATACCCTGGCTGAGGGAAGGAGGTTCGCACCCAAGATTTGACGGTACATGGTCCCGTCCATCGTCCCTTTGATTCAGTGAAGTTGTCCTGTCCCCTTTGCAAAAAAACACCCCCAAAGCATAATGTTTCCACTCCATGTTTGACGGTGGGGATGGTGTTCTTGGGGTCATAGGCAGCATTCCTCCTCCTCCAAACACGGCGAGTTGAGTTGATGCCAAAGGGCTCGATTTTGGTCTCATCTGACCACAACACTTTCACCCAGTTCTCCTCTGAATCATTCAGATGTTCATTGCCAAACTTCAGACGGGCCTGTATATGTGCTTTCTTGAGCAGGGGGACCTTGCGGGCGCTGCAGGATTTCAGTCCTTCACGGCGTAGTGTGTTACCAATTGTTTTCTTGGTGACTATGGTCCCAGCTGCCTTGAGATCATTGACAAGATCCTCCCGTGTAGTTCTGGGCTGATTCCTCACTGTTCTCATGATCATTGCAACTCCACGAGGTGAGATCTTGCATGGAGCCCCAGGCCGAGGGAGATTGACAGTTATTTTGTGTTTCTTCCATTTGTGAATAATCGCACCAACTGTTGTCACCTTCTCACCAAGCTGCTTGGCGATGATCTTGTAGCCCATTCCAGCCTTGTGTAGGTCTACAATCTTGTCCCTGACATCCTTGGAGAGATCTTTGGTCTTGGCCATGGTGGAGAGTTTGGAATCTGATTGATTGATTGCTTCTGTGAACAGGTGTCTTTTATACAGGTAACAAACTGAGATTAGGAGCAATCCCTTTAAGAGTGTGCTCCTAATCTCAGCTCGTTACCTGTATAAAAGACACCTGGGAGCCAGAAATATTTCTCATTGAGAGGGGGTCAAATACTTATTCCCCTCATTCAAATGCAAATCAATTTATAACATTTCTGACATGCGTTTTTCTGGATTTTTTTGTTGTTATTCTGTCTCTCACTGTTCAAATAAACCTACCATTAAAATTATAGACTGATCATTTCTTTGTCAGTGGGCAAACGTACAAAATCAGCAGGGGATCAAAAACTTTTTTCCCTCACTGTACACACAGACACACGGCTCCATAGCTCTCTCCAAACACGCACCTTGTTGTCTCCGTTGGTGTATTGGCCAATCTCCCTGTCCCGCTTGCGTTCGTCAGACTGTCGTTTGAGGCCCCGTACAGACATGTGTCTGATGACGGTGGTCTCCCTGGGTAGCGGGGGCACGGCCGGGGCGTGGTCCTCAGGACTGTATAGCTGAGGTAGTGGCGGTCGGGGAGGGGCGCCCTCCTCTGCCTGCAGAGAAAACAACCAACCAGCATAGCCTTTACTATCATATTCAATCACATTTACTATCAGATAGTATAAAATTCAACACTGTATGTCCTCCATGTGGGAGAGGAGCGGGGGCCACTCACCCATTTTGGCACAGACATGGGGAGGGCTGCGGTGGTGTGCTGGGTGGAGGTGGGGGTAGGGGTTGTGTGGCTGAGGTGGGGGCTGTGCTGCTGGGCCAGTCTCATCTCTCCCATGGAGGGAATGGCAGACAGAGAAGGCACTGACGACGGCAACACGGAAGGCACAAGTTTTCTCTCTGGAGACACAAAAACACATGTAAAACACTCCCCAACACACACAACACACACATTCAAATTACATAAGATAACAACACTCCAACCACAAAAGCCAAATACACATACAGACCATAATAAACTCAGCAATGTTTTGCATAATGAGAGGCATTTTGTCCCCTGTAAATATATAAGCGTATGACAAGTAGCATCCATTTCTCTCTCTCGACCTCGTCCTGAGCTCCAGTGTGTGTGGGTAGAGGCAAGCGGAGGAAGAGGCACAGCACTCCTCTCACCTGGGTTGGTCACAGAGGAGATGGTGACTTGGTAATTGGCTTTGCTAGAGCTGAGGCCTGCTATTACGTCTTCAATCCTCCACAACTCCCTCTTGATCTGGGACTTCTCCTGCTGCTCATAGACAAACACACACACAACCATGAACACAAACACTACAGGCGTTTGTTCCCATCCCTCTCGGAATCTGACGGTGTACGAGAGTATGTGTTTGCAGCGGTGTGGTTGTGGTGCGATCCTGACCTGAGAGAGACCACTGCGGTTCATCTGGCCCTCCAGAGCTGTCCTCAACCAGTCTACGTCTCTCTCCAGGCTGCTGTACTCATTCCATGCATTCTCCATCTCCTGCATGGAGCAAGAGAGACATAGAGAGAGAGAGAGAGAATAAGAGAGTAAGAGAGAGAGAGAGAGAGAGAGAGAGAGAGAGAGAGAGAGAATAAGAGCATGAGAGAGAGTAATAAAGAGAGAGAGAGAGAGAGAGAGAGAGAGAGAGAGAGAGAGAGAGAGAGAAAGAGAGAGAGAGATAGAGGTTGTGTAGTCAGTGAATGGGGCTTTGTCCAGACCAGTGAGCGAGTCTGTGTTAGGTCAGACAGAGCAGGTCTTACCGTGGACACCTGAGAGATCTCAGCTCTGATGTGCACCACGTCCTCCTGCAGTAGTCTCTGCTGGTAGGATATCTTCTCCAGGTGGGCCGGCTGGTCCCGGTATTGCTCCATCTGCTGGTGGGACACGTCCAGCACTGACTCCAACTTGTCCTGTAGGACAGGACACCACAAGGGCATGGGGTTATCACGACAAGGGGGGGGCTAATACACACGTATACATACCCAGGCACACACACACATGCACAAACACGCGCACACACACAAACAAACACACAAAACCCAATACCTTGTCTTCCTTGAGCGTGCGTATCGTTGTTTCCAGCTCCTGAAGGATCTTGTCTTGTTCACACAGTCGACTTAGCTTCACCTGCACAGGGACCAGCAGCAGGTAGCACAGAGAACAGAGATTGATAAGGTATATTAAGAAGACTAGGTCTATGGGTATAACAGGGGCCCTCTGCCCAGCAGCTTCTGGTAAACACTATTCAAACCACAGCGCCCAGCAGAATGAATTGATAGTCTACTGTAGTCTACTCTGTCTGTAAATATGTCAATAAGACCCATCTCTTTGAAATGCCCTGAGGACCTCTATTCATCTTCTCTGTGTGAAAATAAATAAATAAAGCTTTATACTATCTGCTTGTGGAGAATGGTAATGCCCATTATAAGTAATCATAATCAAAAATCCATATTTTTAAATTCACTTTTCAGGAGAACAGTGCTTATTGAGACTGGCATATTTTTTTCCCTGCAGAAATGGGTTATATGTTTCTGAAAACAAAATAAGACTGCCTAGTTTACAGTCTTTCTCACACAGTGAGTGTTTCATCTCGAGCTCTATTTATCATTCTGTTCAATTAATAATTAAGCTGTTTTTTATTTCACAGCCGTATATTGTTGTTTTAATTGCATGAAATATTTATTGTTCAAACAAATTCACCAGCAAATTCTTATAAATTGTTAAACTGGAACAATGCTAATGATGAAAAGCCAAGACATCAAGCTTATTTACCTCCATTCTGAGCAAACAAAGAATTAAAAAGGCCGGATCACACAAATCAAACTGAAACATTTAAGAGCTCTACGTCTAAAATCCCATTACATGTATTTTTCCCTTTAAATTGAGAGCTGGAAATAAAAGCCCTCGTCGATACTCTCAAGCTTTAACGGTGAAGCTATCTGTCCCCACAGTGTTGCATCTTAGCTCTGCACCGTTTCCTTCCTCCCTACACACCCTCTGTTTACCACAACTACAGAATACCAACTTCTCAACTCCTCAGTTCACTGTCTCTGTAGTGGGTCGTAAGATGTGAAAAACGATAGACGTTGAAGAAAAGGAGAGACATGGATAAACTGGGTGTTTATCACACAAGGTTTGGTTAGGGAGGGGTGGGGGATGGTATACTTACATCAACATCGCTCTCTGCTATCTTAACAGGTCTCGATGGTCTGTCTTTTAGCGTTTCACGCCCTGTAACCTGCAATGCCCCAAAGGCACAAATACAACCTTACTTCTCCCAGTAATAGTTGCAAAAAAATTGTTCAAATACCCTAAATATTAAAACCAACATTCAATAGATAACACTGAACAACAACATTACAGCAATTATCAAGCAACAGCATGAGACCTTGCTAAGGACATTGGGATTGCAGAAACCACAATGTAGAACAGTTATGCAAAAATTATTCAACAAAAAAGACTTGGGTAGTAGTATGCACAAGCCAATGCAATACGACTGCTTTAAAAGCTGTGCAAATATATTTATGGACAAAAACAGCATCTGTGCATTTAAGAGAGGCCTGGATGATGGAGAATCACAAAGCTGCTCTTTCCTGGCAGTGTGTCAGTGGGTTTAGTTAACGACCGTGTCCTCTTTATGAACCAGGAGAAAGGGAGGAACTAGAAGGAAATATGGCACCTCCTTTAGATCCTCTCTGTTACAATGATAAATCAGACTTGGCCAAAGACATATCTCAGAGACGTCAGTGAACTGGCCCAGTTAGAATTGATATAAACTGTAGCTATATTTCAGTGTCTTTCGCTAAGAGATTTCAATTGACTTAATGACCAAACAGAGCTAATGATTTCTGTTGATCCATTTCAAAGGGCATAGAGATGTAGGTGTGTTTACAATTATTACCAAAGCACACATTATTTAGCTGACCTTTTAGCTCTGATTCTAATACAAGTGTTAAATGATAATCAGTATTGACGTTTCTCAAAGAGCACCCTTGGGTTGTCTCTTTAGTGCTTACAAGCCAAACAAAAGGAAAAGAAAAGCTGTGAAACAAAGTGCAATCCAGGGTTTAACAGCATGCAATGGGACTCCCTCTCACAGAGAGCAGAGACAGAGTCCCCATCAGTCAGTCAGCACACACTGACACAGCATCACCATGATGGACTACAGTACCCAGCAGGCCAAGCTATGCACTACAGTTACAGGTGGGTCTCTCTTCTGACATGTCCACTCCTCACAGCAAACATGGGCAGGTGAGGAGTGCATTATACACATTCTATTAGGAGAAGCAGTGGAATGGTCTCACTCTTTGTATGCACACCATCCTTACATTCCAACTGGACCCAAAACCTGGAGGGGTGTTTTCTAACACATTGAGTACCATAACGATCAACGGGTCAGTACTTTTGATCTGTTTTAAAACAGGAAATAGAGAGGTGTTACATCAGAATGTACACATCGATAATAGAACTCCCCACTCCAAGAAACAGAAGGTTAGTTAAGGTTTGTGGTGTTATACATACAAATCACTTCAGGGGGATCAGATGCTTTGTACTGTTGTTAATGGAAGAGAATTGCTGATAGCAGAATGTAGAAACATTACAACACACAAGGTCATTCTGCTGAAGCTGGCATTAGACTTATATGAAGCCGCACAGCAGCAAGATACTTTACGTGTTCGAGAGCATCAAAATTGTGATGTATCATGGGTAAATTGTGACTGACTGAATGAACTACAAATAATATTGAGTAGTTATTTAGGATGCAAGGTGATTTGTAGATCAGTCAGTCTCGACTCGCCTTTAAAGTCGGCTGCAATGTTGAACGCGCCCATTGTAGGTCTCTTTTAGCAGCACTGCCTGATGGGAAGTGAAGTTTACATGATGCAAAATGTAGTTTTTGACATCTAATACTGTGCTGCTTGAAACTACAGTTCCCATCAGTGGAGGTATGATATTTTGGCCCCATGTTTTCAGGGTGAACATGTACTATTCCCAATGTACTTTTATCCAATTGCAAAAATAGCTAGCTTTGGCACAATATAGAAAATTGTATAGTTTATACTTTAGCCAATAACCATATACTTTTTTGTATAAGATCATATTGCACTCAAGTTGTTTGCTTTGCTGAATTGATAGTAAAGACACACAGATTAATGCAGCATAGCATTATTGTCAAGAATACAGAGCATTATTAACAAAAACAACAGTGGTTAAAACACACAGAAGACAGTTTAAATTCCAACATCAACCTAAAGCACACAGCCGTGAGGAACAAGGGCAGAAAGAAGAGGAGAGAGCAGCAGAAGGAGGTGTGTGAATGAGGAAGAGACTGACACTGTAGACAGTGGAGGGAAGAGCAGGATACAGGCTACAGAGGAGAGAGGAGGAGGAAGAGAGATGAATAATCATTTACATTAGCTTTGTTCTTGGGGCCCACCTTCAGATCTAGATACTCCAGGTCCTTCTTCAGTTGCATGTAAGTATCATCAGCCTGACAGACAGTGAGGAGTGGAGAGACAGATCACAAGACTGGAAGCTGCAAAGGATGCTAGGAAATTATAGTATTGGAAGACTAGTCAGGCGCTGTTACAGCACAACTCTACATCTCTACTTCATTCTCATTGTAGAGATCATATCACCACAGTCAAATTAATATTAGTGAGGCAAAATAGGACAGAAAATCAGGGAGATTGATTGGGTTATATTATGAGAATGTACACCAAACTAGATTGTTGTGTAGGGCTGCTATTTAAATAGTTTAGGGATGCTTACACAAATAGCTTTAGCATTTCATAGGGCAGTATAATGCTTGTAATTCAGTTCGCCACCAAATCTCTGCCATGGGTAAATCATGTCTACATGAGCATGAAGAGAACGTAAGTGTTGATGGAGAGAGACTGAGCATGGTTGTTATTGAGCACCTTTGCAGCTTCACTGTGGTGTTCAGGTCTGAGAACAGTGCACTGTGTTTGGACTGGCTCCTCTAGGGCAAGGGTCGGCAACAGGCATATTTATTATTATTTTATTTTTTTAAGACTGTAAAATCACCAGGAATTCAGATTATTTTAGGAAATCTGTTCCCAAGTATTCCCACAAATAAAAAAAGAGATATGTGATCTTGACTCAGTATAATCAAGGCATTATTTAAAATACAACCTCTTTCTGGGCTTAGTTGTGATCAATTTGCAGTGTACAAATTATTATAATTATGTTCCGGCCCCCCCGACCATTCGTTCCGACATAAAATCTCCCACGGCTGAATCTAGTTGCCTACCCCTGCTCTAGGGAGACACACTACTGAGCTAGCCTTTGTAGCAGTGGAGGCTGCTGAGGGGAGGAAGGCTCATAATAATGGCCGGAACGGAGCAAATGGAATGGCATCAAACACATGGAAACCATGTATTTGACACCATTCCACTAATGCCAACCCAGCTATTACCACGAGCCCGTCCTCCCCAATTAAGGTACCACCAACAACCTGTGCTGTGTACCCAGGATCACTTTACACTAATAAGAGTGACCTCAGAAACACACAGTTCAACACAACCAGGACAAACATACATTTCTCATTGTAGTTATCCAGGTTTGCAAAGACCTCAAACAACAGAAGATAAGGCTACAGTATATGTGTGTAAAGGCAGGCACGGTGCATAGTCAACAAGCGACATGCTTGGGATGATGCTTAGGAGCAAAATCATGTTTGTTTGTTTTCTAACAAATCAAATAAAACACGGCTCTATAAGGCTCAACAGAGCGCTACATTATGTTGATAGATGAGTGAGGCCATCCATTCAAACACAACACAGGCTGGTGTATCTATAGCTGCAGACAGTCCATGCTAACAGGGGAGCACCTAAGCCACTAGTACAACAAGACACAACCAACACACACCACACAGTCCAATGAATGATGGGGCTGGGACCAAAACACTAGCAGAGACACAGACTGCGGGTGATGGGGATGTGGCTGGGGGCTGGGTCTCCACGATTCACTGGAGTGGGGTTGCAGGACAGGGTGGCTGCAGGGGGGAGGATACGAGGGGGCCTGACCTGCAGGCTGGGGCCTAGGAGGCCGTTGTGCTGTAGGTGGTGGAGGGCGTCGCCGTGGACACCAGCCATCTTGGCCTGGTGCCTCCTGAGCTGAATGAGCAGCAGGGTCAGCTCCTCCGGCTGCAGTAGGGTCAGGCCCAGGCCAGGGAGAGCCAGGAAGGGAGGGGCAGACAGATAGCACTTCAACACCTGGCCACCAGGGCGGCAGCAGTGAGGGCTCAGCTCTTCAGGCTCCAGAGAGATGTGTGCCTAAGCATCCTACCACAATATCTGCTCCTCTCTCTCCCCGCCACCCACACAAGGCCCTCCAGAGCAGAACAACACTGAATCCACCAGCCTGAAAATGGTGCTGCTTTCTGATTGAAATGTATTACATCAAAGTTTCCTTCAGCATTAATCTTTAATAGTCCTAATATAAAGCAGAGAATAGTTTCAACTGGGTGTGTGATGAAGATAAATGAAAAAGACAGAAGCTGTACCGTTTTCCCATGCAAGCTGGGTGCGCTGACTGTGTGTGTGATGTAGCCCATGGCTGGCATTGACCGTCTCTCGATCTGACTAGTCTGTGGGAAAACACACACATCAACAAATATTATTAGGCTACATATCCCATTTCACAAATCAAACAGAATGTCAAATCATAAATGAACATTTATAAGGATGAATATGCCTGCAATGTGGCTCAGGTTGTTACTGGCTTTCTGTCCCCGCTAAGGGGCATTCTGATATGTAGCATCCCAAACTTAAAGGCATTGCCTGCAACTTTACAAACAAATTTGTGCACACAGCATATTTTTTCTTCTATCCCTGAATTTATTTCCATCCCTCCTCCTCTTATTTGAAATAAGGTGTGCCCCCAGTTTAAGTTGCTACAGGGTTTGGAAGATTTGACATTTTTGCTTAACACACAGAATTCCTCGGCTAGGCCCATCACAGAACCTTAAAAGGACACAAACAACAAGAGATTTAATTAACTACACATAAATTATCCCCAACCTGCTTTCTTAAAATAACATTTGTTTGCTACCAGCGAGAGAAGCACTGTGAGCCATTCCCTCAGAGATTCCCAAGCCACTCTTTTTTTTGCTGTATAATAGGTTTTTTATTTAAATGTAAGATCAGAAGAAAGAGACCGTTGCTGATGGTTGAGATAGTGGAGATGTTTATAGAGTGCTGAGAGGCCCTGGGCAAACTGAATTAGCCGCTAATAACACACACACACACACACTTGTGTGATATTCCATAGAAGTACATAGAACACAGCCCTGAAATACACACGCAAGCCAAAAAGACATCACCAGCCTAAAAGATGCTGGATCCACCAAAACAAAGTTAATCTGCAGACTAAACTTAGTACCCATAAACCATTGCTTTCTTGGATGGTCTCACATACTGTGGCTCATTAAAAATATACTTTTCCTCTTTGTGTGTTTATGATTATTCTGTGAGCGAGCGGAGCGGCAGTGTTCTATTTGAGACACATAATTAGTGACTTGACGTTATGGGTGAATGATGAGGAAACAGAGGCTGGGACATTCTGTTTACTTGGTGTGAGGACAGTGGGCTGGTGATGAGGGCTGTGTGGAGGCTGGTGTGGTGCAGCCTTGTAAAGACAGCCTCACATGTGGGGGGTGTGGCAGCCGGCAGGGAGACAGCCCAGGGTGCGGATGGCGCAGGACAGTGCCTTGTCACAGGGGGTCACACACTTGCGCACACACACACGGCCACACAGGCTGATGTGTGTCTGAGCCTGGAGACTGGGCTGGGCCGGGATGAATGGGCGATGGGGAGGCTCACACTCCCACACACACACCCAGCCACCTGTGTAGAGGGCCTGGGTGTGGACTGTGTGAATCCTTCGGAGCTTGTGACCGACATCAAAGTGAAGATGCCGGGAAATTACAGCAGGGCTACTTCTCATGCTCATCTTCCCATGGTCGGCCCTTTCTCTAACGGTTAACGCATCAAAGTTATTATTCCTCTAAGACAGAGATGAATTGGAAATTCACTACAAACAAATGGCCTCAGTAACTGTGAGAATTAAACCCATTTATGAAAGATGAACGTTCCTTAGCTGTGAAACATTTAGTCTTGTGACAGTCCTAGGCTGATAGACCAGCCTCTTTAACCCTTTAAACCCCAGTGGGTCAGTGTCCTACCTTAGAGAGCTGAGAACACACCCGTCTAGGAGAACTGGAGCCGGTGGAGGACTCCCCAGGTGGCACCTCATCCAGCGGCCTGACCGTCACCCTGTCTGAGGGGGTGTGTGGCCTGTGTGGGGACAGTGGTTTGAAGGTGGGGACAGACGGGGGGACTTCACAGGGGGAAGGGGGCACAGAGATGGAGCGAGGCATCTCCACGGTGACCCTGAAGGAGGCCGTGTCCAGGAAGTCTGGCCCGGTGTAGATGGGCGCCGTGGGGCTGCCGTGGCGGAACTGCTGGCGCTGCTGCCACTCATACAGCTGCCATACCATGCCCTCCTTGGTGGCCATGCGCTCATCGGTGGACATGCGGAAGTGGCTGAGCCGGTCGTGAGCGTATTTGTAGTCGCTGGGCAGGTTGCGGGGCGCCGAAGGGGAGCTCCCGCCGGACGGAAGTCTGGGGGTCTTTGGCAACGTCTGGTAGGCCTCTACTACCACGGCCTTAGGCTGCAGGGGAGGGGTCCGCCGAGGGAGAGGGAGGGCGTACTCAGTAGTAGATGTGTTGCTAAAGTGAGGAAAGAGGGATAGAGCCTTTTACAAACTGTGCAGTCCACTTATTTCACCAGGCACATAATTGAGCATCAATACTGAGTTGAAACAAAAGTGCATATAAAGTAAAGTATTAACAGCCATTCAGGCATGACCACTTTATTCCAAAAAACGGTTACAGTGAAAAAGAAGTTCAGAGCTGAGACATTCACAATCGCCACCAGGGGGAGACATTTGTAGTTAGTTTGGTAAAATACAGTATGTCAATTGAATGGTTGATATTGGGGCATGGGCTGAGGCTATAGTTAGCACGAGGCTGCTAAGGGGAGAACGGCTCATAATAATGTCCGGAATGGGAAAAAAGGAATGGCATCAAACATGGAAACCATGTGATTGATGTATTTGATACCATTCCACCAATTCCGCTCCAGCCATTACCGCCAGCCCGTTCTCCCCAATTAAGGTGCCACCAACCTCCTTTGATGGTTCGGGTTATCTTCACTGAAGCTAAGGATAAGGTTAAGATTATGCTCAGGATAAGAGTGAAGATTAGATTAGATGAGTAATGCAGGTCTTCTGACTGACCTCTTCGGATCTCCCTTCTGTACTTTGACCCAGTGCTCCACCTGAGTCAGAGCCGTCTTCCTCTGCACCTGCTTCTCTGTGGCTGTCCGTGGGACAAAGCCCCTCTTATACACCACGTTCCCATTCTGCTCAGGGGGCAGCGTCGCGAGGACCGTGTGGGCCTGGCCATTCCTGGGGTGTGAGGGGCCAGGGAGAGAGTCTGGGGAGAGCCTGTCCACCTCTACCTCTACCTCTGTGGCTGGATGGCTGAACTTTCTAGGAGCCTCCAACACGTTCCTCTCCTCGTCCCCCTGGGTCAGTCGGATCTCCCCCTCCAGAGGCTTCTCTCTCTCAGGCCGCAACTGGGAGGGGCTCTTACTGGTGTTGTTGTTGTTAACGTGGTTGGTCTGTGGTACTGCCTGCTGCACTGACATTTCTGGTCTCTCTGTGACTGCCTCTCTGTGAGGGGTGAGAGAGGCGATAGAGGTCAACAGGGATACCGGACTATAACAGAGGCACTTTACAGTTACCTAGGCTGAAGACAACAGCCAAACCTGGCGTTTCTATCACACCAACCCCTGGACATTAGAAACAACTGGCATGATTAATCAGCTCAGTGTGACATGGTTAGTGACATGCTAATATACTGAACAAAAATATAAACGCAACATGCAACAATTTCAACGATCTTACTGAGTTACAGTTCATATAAGGTAATCAGTAAATTAAATAAATAAATACATTTTCTATTGATTTCACATCACTGGGGAGCCAGGCCCAGCCAATCAGAATGAGTTTTTCCCCATAAAAGGGCTTTATTACAGACGGAAATACTCCTCAGTTTCATCAGCTGTCCGGGTGGCTGGTCTCAGACGATCCCGCAGGTGAAGAAGCTGGAAGTGGAGGTGCTGGGCTGGCGTGGTTACACGTGGGCTGCGGTTGTGAGACCAGTTGGATGTACTACCAAATTCTCTCAAACGACGTTGGAGGCAGCTTATGGTAGAGAAATGAACTTTCAATTCTCTGGCAACAGCTCTGGTGGACATTCCTGCAGTCAGCATGCCAATTGCACGTTCCCTCAAAACTTGAGACATCTGTGGCATTGTGTTGTGTGACAAAACTGCACATTTTAGAGTGGCCTTTTATTGTCCCCAGCACAAGGTGCACCTGTGTAATGATCATGCTGTTTAATCAGCTTCTTGATATGCCACAACTGTCAGGTGGATGGATTATCTTGGCAAAGGAGAAATGCTCAGTAACAGGGATGTAAACACATTTGTGCAGAAATAAGCTTTTTGTGTGTATAGAACATTTCTGGGATCTTTTATTTCAGCTCATGAAACATGTTGCGTTTATATTTTTGTTCAGTATATATCTGAATGTTAGTCAAGGACTTAGTGACCTATAGTAATGCATTAAATACTTAAGTTCTATGTCTTAAGACAAATGATTCATGCTATTCATTCCTCCTTCCCCTCAGATATTAATACAGGTGACTACATTATGGTAAAGTACAGCTGAACACTTGAAACAGGGGATTAGAAGGTATTATGCTGTAGATAAAAAGCCAACATGGACACCTCCATTAACCTGAGCTGACTCTGACTCTCAATGCTATTTCCCACTTGAGTGATACTAGTGAAAGCATTCAAATGTCCTTTATTCATTACTGAGTTCCTCCAAAGAGGGAAGGGAGACTACAGGGAGGGGTTTTCAATATGTTTTTAACACCCACATATTTTCATGGAGAGGGGAGTGTAACTAAGTGAGGTTATTTGGAGAGGAGGCTGGCTGGGTTCCCCTTGAGAGTCTAAATGACAGCCATTTTGTCTTTAAACATATAGCTCGGGGTAGCTTCTTCATCCATGACTCTGTGTAATAGCTCTAGTGATGGAGCTGATCATTCATTTGTCCCACTCTCTCCCTCTGCATGGAGTCATTCATCTGAGATATCATTTATCTGATTCCCAGACCAACACTATACACGTCAAGGCAGGTCCTCTTCGGACAGTTTTTAACTCAGTTTCAAAGTTCAGAGCATATTCTCTCCATCAGACATAATGAGTGTTAGCTAATGTTCTACTGGGATTCCAAGTTCTAGCTTGCTGACTAACCTGATAATGCTGACATCCATTATGATACATGATAATGTAGCACTAGCAGTAGATTTAGACAATGTTTTTCAGGAGAAATAGCTTTCCTTGCAGCCGCTAACGAGCACTGAGCAGCGTTGGCCACTAGATGGAATTGTTTGACAAAACATCAGATCCAGCCTTCCCTCTCAGCTGTAGCATGCCAGTCCAGATCAACCACATCCTGTATGTTCAGTGTACACTTCATTTCTACTACACCACAAGCTGTGTCATTCATCTGACCAAACCGTTACTTTTTCTCCTTTTAATTGAAATAGCTATACATAAACCTGTCCAGTGTTCATCTAATGCTGACACTAATTTAAATAGATTTATTAACAACACAAATTAAGTCAAGGCTACCAGTAGGTTTGTTACAATGGCCAATAATGGGCAGGTGACTGTGCTCTGTGATGGAGGAGGGTGTGTGAATGGCCTCGTCCCACATGGCACTCTATTCCCTATATAGTGCACTACTTTTGACCAGGGCCCATGGGGCTCTAATCAGTAGTGCACTATATAGGGAACAGGGTGCCATTTGGGACGCAGTTGTGTTTGTGCCATGTGAGGGAGTAGAGGGAGGGACCGTGTCTGTGCCCTGTGACTGGCCCATGCTCAGCTGGCAGCAGGAGCAGGATGGAGCACTCATCCATACAGCAGCCAGCTGCAGTACTCAACATCTCATCCATCCCACAGCACAGGAGAGTAGACTATCAGAGTAGTGCTACGCCTGCCCTGCCATGGATGACTGCTCACTGAGTCCCAGCCAAGCAGGCCATGCTAAACCATGCCATGCCAAAACCATGCCAAGCAAGGCCAGGTACACTCCCACGTACAACCCCAACAGTTAGGCACTTTGCTAATGTTACTACAGGCACATGATAAAGATCAGATTGGGAAAAATGTGTTTGCTTTGGTGCTGAGAAGGTGATAGGAAGAGAGAGGGAGGCAGAGGTGAGTTGAAAAGGTCTACTGGGAGAGATACTGGTGGATCCCTGTTTGGACTAGGAGGCATTGGGTTTACTGGGGACTATTGGGGACAACTACAGAGGGGACTACTGTAGGGACAACTACAAAGGGGACTATTGGGGATAACTACAGAGGATACTATTGGGAATAACTACAGATGAGACTATTGGGGACACTACAGAGGGGATTATTGGGGATAAATACAGAAGAGACTATTTGGGACACTACAGAGGAAACTATTGGGGACACCACAGAGGGGACTATTGGGGATAACTACAGAGGGGACTATTGGGGATAACTACAGAGGTGATTATTGGGTGTAACACTACAGAGGAGACTATTGAGTGTAACTACAGAGGGGATTATTGGGGATAACTACAGAGGAGACTATTGGGTGTAACACTACAGAGGTGACTATTGGGGATAACTACAGAGGTGACTATTGGGTGTCACTACAGATGAGACTATTGGGGATAACTATAGAGCTGACTATTGGGGATAACTACAGATGAGACTATTGGGGATAACTACAGAGGAGACAATTGGGTGTAACACTACAGAGGAGACTATTGGGGATAACTACAGAGGTGATTATTGGGTGTAACACTACAGAGGAGACTATTGAGTGTAACTACAGAGGGGATTTTTGGGGATAACTACAGAGGAGACTATTGGGTGTAACACTACAGAGGACACTATTGGGGATAACTACAGAGGCGACTATTGGGGATAACTACAGATGAGACTATTGGGGATAACTACAGAGGAGACTATTGGGGATAACTATAGAGCTGACTATTGGGGATAACTACAGAGGAGACTATTGGGGATAACTACAGAGGAGACTATTGGGTGTAACTACAGAGGAGACTATTGGGGATATCTACAGAGGTGACTATTGGGGATAACTACAGAGGTGACTATTGGGGATAACTACAGATGAGACTATTGGGGATAACTACAGAGGAGACTATTGGGGATAACTACAGAGGAGACTAATGGGATAACTACAGATGAGACTATTGGGGATAACTAGGGACAGCCTGCCTGGCGGGAGGGAGGGACTAACCTCTTGATGCCTTGACTCTGCATGAGAGCAGCCTGGTTCATGGCTCGGATCCAGCCATTCATGTCCTCCTGCGTGTCGGCACTGAAGAAGTATGTCCTCATCCCACAGTGCTCTGCCTGCGAGCCAATCACAGAGTTCTTATTGTAAATGTAGGAGCGCATTCCTGTGTGGCTCGCCTGTGGAGAGAGAATAGAAGAGACAGAACAAAAATAAAGAAGGGAGAGGGGATGGATGGGTTGAGGGGTCAAAGGGTACGTTCTGAAAATGAAGACTCAGAGAGAGCACGTTAGCATATTAGCTCACAATGGGACTCAAAGCCATCACCAGAACTTACTAAAGTAATAACAAAAGCAAGAGGCACCATTGTCTCTACACTAAAGCTGTTCATGCAACAGGCCACGCATGAAGAAGCATTGGTTTTAAAGTTAGACAAGCAGCCAGTTTATGCCGTATATTTGAAGTGTTTCACAAGTCCCAATGCACAGCAAATTCCTCATTAATACCCTTGGGCACAAACTAATTTCATACAAAGTTACAGTAACTCAACATAGCGTACCCACTTTGCCTAGCTATAGCATTGTTACAGAGCACAACCTCTCACCCATATGCACACGAGAGACATACGCAGTACAAACACACACTGAGACAAGCACAACACACACACACAAAGAGCAACCTCATAATTAGCCTTACCCTGGTCCCTGGTTGCTTCAGGCTAGAGTAGCTCCGTCTCTACAGTATAGTGTAATGGGCTTGCCCTCCTGTCTGGCCCCTACTGTAAATCTGGCCCCCTGTTCCCCTGTCTGGCTGCAAACCCACCCCAACGCCCCAACGCATGCCTAATCTCCCCCATCCTGCCCTGATAGGGGGGCAACGCTGCCACTGACAACCTACTGTCCAATTACAACACAGATCAGCATTTTCCCAGCACAGTTCCACCCCAAACTACTACACTGCCCAGTCCTCCAGCACAGCTAAGACCTTTATACAGCTTTCTGCTCTCCAAACCATTCTACTGCCTTTCCCATTACAATACAACCTGTATCATCCAGTACTGCCCAGCATGTTAGTCCATGCATAGTCCCAGACCATGATTTTGCCTGCAACTATTGCACAACTCTTCAAAGTAGTACATTCCTGTACTATCTGGTACAATATCCTTCCATCTATCCTGATGTATAATAACTCTCAGAGTCTGGGTACAGCCTTGCAGTCTCAGAATGCATCCCAAATGGCACCCTATTCCCTATACAGTGCAATGCTTTTGACCAGAGCCCTATAGGAATTAGGATGCAATTTGGAATGCAACCTATGTCTAGCAGGAATCCATCCTCCATTTACAAACAAACAGCAATCCATTCTAAATCACTGAAAACCTCTCTTTAGTGTGCAACAGGTGCATCCACCATCATGTCGTGTTTCTGTTTAGTATTGTATTGTATCTTGTGATCAGCTGTAGCGATCTTACTTGGCTGCGGGGTTAACAAAGCCTGTTTTGATTGCAGAGTCCTGTATTATCCAGCAGCATAGTGCCAGCGTGATCTCAACTGAATCCCCCAGAGAAAAGTGCTGAATGGACAGGCCAGACCCAGACCCATGGCATAGGGTCCACATCCACACTCACCAGCTCTGCAGTCTACCACACACATCAACAATGTGGGGATGTTTCGTGTCGGAACAGCTACTCACTTTCCACAGTTCCTCTTTCACAAAAATAGTGTGATTTTAAGGCAAGTATAAATGGAGGAACCTCTGCTACTACCCAGCTCTCTCCCCTCTTTAGCATGGAAGACTTGAGGGCTCTATTTTAAGGCTCTCTTGACATAACATTAGGGGGGTCTGGTCTTAAGCGTTCATTGGGTAATGAACCTGTGTGATTTATCGACAGGCTGATCTTGACTTTAAGAACCAGAGAGCTTTTGAGGCAGAGTATCAACCGATAGACAGACATCACACTTTAACTTCCAGGACCTATTCCACTAATAGAAACCATGCCAATGAGTCGAATAAAAACCAATCTAAAAAAAAAACATTCCGAAATGTGTATTTATTTTTATTTAACCTTTATTTAACCAGGAAAAGCCCATTGAGACCCAGAGTCTCTTTTTCAAGGGAGGCCAGAATTAAAACACAACACAACAATACAATTCAACAACATGATCCAGCCTAAAAAAAGCATTTACACTCCTCTGTAACAGTCTCCCATCAAAAAATAATAATAATTCAGTGGCACTAACATATCTAGATGAGGCATGGATTGTAGACTATACCATGCCTGTGGTGCACAAGACGAGAAGGCAGTCTTGCCTAATACTGTAAATGTCCTATACATTACAAAACAAATGCATTACAAAACATATTAATCAATGAGCCAGTTCCATGGCACTAAATGATATGGCCTGGTTGTACAATACAACAGAAACATTGATATACAGTCTGGTATAGCTAGATGTGGCTAGATAGACTGAATGTTTGTTGAATGCGATGGTGATGAGGCCAACAGAAAGAAAGGCAGTGAAACTGGAGAGGAGTGTGGAAAAGAGATGGATGGGAGGAGGATGAGAGGAGGATGGCCCAGCCCAGTGTGAGACCCTGCTATCCCACGGTTCACATGGTGATGACAGTGTCCTGATGACTGACATGGAGGAGGCAGGGCCAAATACCAGTGCTACAGTCTAAACCCTCACAACAACCGATGTGTATCAGGCTTTGACTGATGGGTGGTTCCATATGAACTTTAAGTCATCCAACAGTTCATTTGACACTTGTTACAGTTATACCAAGAACCAAGGTTGGCTTCAAAGGCAAACGTTCAGTGAAATTAGCCTACCTGAATATTTGGAGACGCACTGGCATTGTCCATCCATCCGTGATTGATGTGGGAAAAATCATCATCTAATCTAAATGTGCATTCTTCAATTGGTTTGGCAAATGAAAAGTAGACTATGAGCACGGATGACGAAGCTAGGTGACGGTCCTCTGAGGAGGATGAAGGAAAATAAAATACCTATTCATGCAAGAGGGGCCCGCCAGCGTGTTTCAGGACGGCTGTCCGGGGGGAGCGGCGCTCGCTCCACCAGTACACAGTCACAACAGGAGGCCATTCAACCAATAGGAACACACGAGAGATAAACACAGTGAGAAGAGCAAACAGAACAGGAGGGTAAAGGTCATTGACTGGCTCCAGAAAACAGAAGTGTCTCTCTGCTGTTCTCGGCTGGCTAGTCATCAACTCAGAGAGAGTGAATTATACTGAACAAAAATATAAACGCAACATGCAACAATTCCAAAGATTTTACTGAGTTACAGTTCATATAAGGAAATCAGTCAATTGAAATAAATAAATTAGGCCCTAATCTATGGATTTCACATGACTGGGAATACAGATATGCATCTGTTGATCACAGATACCTTTTAAAAAAGGTAGGGGCGTGGATCAGAAAAGCAGTCAGTATCTGGTGTGACCACCATTTGGCTCATGCAGCACAACTCATCTCCTTCGCATAGAGTTGATCAGGCTGTTGATTGTGGCCTGTGGAATGTTGTCCCACTCCTCTTCAATGGCTGTGCGAAGTTGCTGAATATTGGCGGGAACTGGAGCACGCTGTCGTACACGTCGATCCAGAGCATCCCAAACATGCTCAATGGGTGAAATATCTGGTGAGTATGCAGGCCATGGAAGAACTGGGATATTTTCAGCTTCCAGGAATTGTGTACAGATCCTTGCGACATGGGGCCACGCATTATCAAGCTGAAACATGAGGTGATGGTGGCGGATGAATGGCACGACAATGGGCCTCAGGATCTCGTCACGGTACCTCTGTGCATTCACATTGCCATCGATAAAATGTAATTTTGTTCGTCGTCCATAGATTATGCCTGCCCATACCATAACCCCACCGCCAACATGGGGCACTCTGTTCACAACGTTGACAGAGAACCGCTCGCCCACACGATGCCATACACGTGGTCTGCGGTTGTGAGGCCGGTTGGACGTCCTGCCAAATTCTCTAAAACGACATTGGGAGGCTGCTTACGGTAGAGAAATAAATATTACATTCTCTGACATTCCTGCAGTCAGCATGCCAATTGCACGTTCTCTCAAAACTTGAGACATCTGTGGCATTGTGTTGTGTGACAAAACTGCACATTTTAGGGTGGCCTTTTATTGTCCCCAGCACAAGGTGCACCTGTGTAATGATCAAGCTGTTTAATCAGCTTCTTGATACCTGTCAGGTGGATGGATTATCTTGGCAAAGGAGAAATGCTCACTAACAGGGATGTAAACAAATTTGGGAAAAACATTTGAGAGAAACACACTTTTTGTGCATATGGAAAATGTCTGGGATCTTTTATATCAGCTCATGAAACATGGGACCAACACTTTACATGTTGCATTTATATTTTTGTTCAGTGTAGATTAACATTGCTGTTGTTAGAACCGGAGGAAGCAGCAAGCAGACTAAAATACAGACCCACACTAGCAAACACAACACTACAGCAATACACCACAACACCACACTCTGGAGAGAGCAAATGGCTGAAGAGAACGTAGTTGGCCATAGGCTGGGGGTCTACTGGATTTTCAGGTAAGGCTAGGATGGGATGGGAAACTCTGGTCTTTAGTGCCTCATGCATTCTGTTGAGCCAGTTAACAGTTAACTGAACTTTGACAATGTCTAATGAAAGATCCTGGTCTGGAATATGTGATTACCTAGAGAGAGAGAGAGAGAAAGAGAGAGAGGGTAGAGAGAGAGAGAGGAGAGAGGGCTGAGCGGAACAGAGACCTCTTAAATACATGCGCTGGATAATTAGCAGAACAGTATTGAGAGCAGGAACCTCTCACCTAACCGTGATATACATTCCCTCCCTGGGCAGAGAGAGGCGGACGGAGAGAGAGAAAGAGAGAGAGAGTTCAGAAGAGAGAGGGCAGGACAGAGAGAGGAGGAGGAGAGAGAAGAGTAGCTGAGAGAGGAGAGAGAGAGAGAGGAGAGATGAGAGAGAGAGAGAGAGAGAGAAGAGAGAGATGAGAGAGTAGAGTCAGGAAGAGATATAGATAGAGTCATGAGAGAGCTAGAGTAGATGAATACGAGGAAGACGCTAGAAAATAGCTTCAATGTATAATTAATCTTTCCCCTGGCAACAATCGTTATACAAATTCCATTGTGTGTAATGTGAGCTGCAGGGGTAATACCCAGACCTGCACCACACACACACACACACACACACGCACGCACACGCACACACACGCACACGCATACACATACACACAGTACACACACCCAGGAGGAACAAAAAGCCAAGCACAAAATATATGAAAGGACTGCAATTGAATGCCGTCAAACTAGCACATCAAACATTCACCCTGTATTGTTCTTCATAAAGGGTCCTCTGCTCTCACTGAGAAAGATATGGAGATGGTTATTGTCAACACCATGGCTCTGACCCAGCAGAGAAACCTATTCGTACTGTCTACTCTGTCTGTCACACATACTGATTGAAATGTGAAAATATTCTATTACCCTCCACTACCCACAGGGAGGATCCTTTACCCTGCTTTCAACTGAGGCGAGAAACAATAAAACAATGAGTGTGGTTACATGCACACAATAATGTGATTACTGTGGATAGTCAGATTAATATAATAGTTTGATTAAAACATTTACGTGCTTTGCAAGAAGAACGATTTCCATAATAATCCTGTTTACATGGACACATCTGAAATCAGGCTACCTGACGGCACTGATAAATGCAGAAAATCAGCAATCAAAATAAACGTTCAACCACAGCGACCATGTTGTTTTTGGTAAGCATATTTGATTCTGAGTTCAGACATACAGTGGGGAGAAAAAGTATTTAGTCAGCCACCAATTGTGCAAGTTCTCCCACTTAAAAAGATGAGAGAGGCCTGTAATTTTCATCATAGGTACAACTCACTATGACAGACAAAATGAGAAGAAAAATCCAGAAAATCACATTGTAGGATTTTTGATGAATTTATTTGCAAATTATGGTGGAAAATAAGTATTTGGTCAATAACAAAAGTTTCTCAATACTTTGTTATATACCCTTTGTTGGCAATGACACAGGTCAAACGTTTTCTGTAAGTCTTCACAAGGTTTTCACACACTGTTGCTGGTATTTTGGCCCATTCCTCCATGCAGATCTCCTCTAGAGCAGTGATGTTTTGGGGCTGTCGCTGGGCAACACGAACTTTCAACCCTCCAAAGATTTTCTATGGGGTTGAGATCTGAAGACTGGCTAGGCCACTCCAGGACCTTGAAATGCTTCTTACGAAGCCACTCCTTCGTTGCTCGGGCGGTGTGTTTGGGATCATTGTCATGCTGAAAGACCCAGCCACGTTTCATCTTCAATGCCCTTGCTGATGGAAGGAGGTTTTCACTCAAAATCTCACGATACATGGCCCCATTCATTCTTTCCTTTACACGGATCAGTCGTCCTGGTCCCTTTGCAGAAAAACAGCCCCAAAGCATGATGTTTCCACCCCCATGCTTCACAGTAGGTATGGTGTTCTTTGGATGCAACTCAGCATTCTTTGTCCTCCAAACACGACGAGTTGAGTTTTTACCAAAAAGTTCTATTTGGTTTCATCTGACCATATGACATTCTCCCATCCTCTTCTGGATCATCCAAATGCACTCTAGCAAACTTCAGACGGGCCTGGACATGTACTGGCTTAAGCAGGGGGACACGTCTGGCACTGCAGGATTTGAGTCCCTGGCGGCGTAGTGTGTTACTGATGGTAGGCTTTGTTACTTTGGTCCCAGCTCTCTGCAGGTCATTCACTAGGTCCCCCCGTGTGGTTCTGGGATTATTGCTCACCGTTCTTGTGATCATTTTGACCCCACGGGGTGAGATCTTGCGTGGAGCCCCAGATCGAGGGAGATTATCAGTGGTCTTGTACGTCTTCCATTTCCTAATAATTGCTCCCAGTTGATTTCTTAAAACCAAGCTGCTTACCTATTGCAGATTCAGTCTTCCCAGCCTGGTGCAGGTCTACAATTTGTTTCTGGTGTCCTTGACAGCTCTTTGGTCTTGGCCTAGTGGGAGTTTGGAGTGTGACTGTTTGAGGTTGTGGACAGGTGTCTTTTATACTGATACAGTTCAACAGGTGCCATTAATACAGGTAACGAGTGGAGGACAAGGAGCCTCTTAAAGAAGAAGTTACAGGTCTGTGAAGCCAGAAATCTTGCTTGTTTGTAGGTGACCAAATTCTTATTTTCACATAATTTGCAAATAAATTCATTAAAAATCCTACAATTGATTTTCTGGATTTTTTTTCTCACCATTTGGTCTGTCATAGTTGACGTGTACCTATGATGAAAATTACAGGCCTCTCATCTTTTTAAGTGGGAAAACTTGCACAATTGGTGGCTGACTAAATACTTTTTTTCTCCACTGTATAAAGTTTGTATGTGAAAACTACTTCTAAGACGCATACATTCAGTTGTTCCGAACTCACTTCACTCGCGCTAAAGAGGGAGGCTCGCTGGGCTGGTGCTAGCACGCGCAGATCAAATACACTGCTGGAACGCCGATTAAGTGTTACTAATTCGAAAGATTGCTCAGAAAACCAGGTGTTTTAATCGCGTATGCTTACTTCGATTTTGACCTTAAGCCGATTAAGATAAATAGAGAAAGGTATTTACTTGACTATTGCATAATCTGTCTACTGCCATAATCAGTTTAATATCGAATTATGAGTGTGTATGTAAACGTATTCAATGTGGTGCATGTCATCATTAATAGTTAATAAGGCATAAACAAACTGGTTTCCTATGTTCTACTGTATGTCTGCAAGAGGAAACATCCCTGGACCAGATACAATCAAACAGCAGAGGAATTCAGAGCGTTTGAGTTTACTCCCCCACAGCCATACTGAGTAGAGAGATAATGATGTTCCCATGTAGGCCCAGAGAAAGAAGAGAAGTGTGGAGAGGAAATGGGCTGGGAGGAGTGTGGAGAGGAGAGGGGCTTGGAGGAGAGGGGCTGGGAGGAGTGTGGAGAGGAGAGGGGCTTGGAGGAGAGAGGCTGGGAGGAGTGTGGAGTGGACAGGGGCTGGGAGGAGAGGGGAGGAGTGTGGAGTGGACAGGGGCTGGGAGGAGTGTGGAGAGGAGAGAGGAGGAGTGTGGAGAGGAGAGGAGAGGGGCTGGGAGGAGTGGTGGAGAGGAGAGAGGAGGAGTGTGGAGAGGAGAGGGGCTGGGAGGAGTGTGGAGAGGAGAGGGGCTTGGAGGAGAGGGGCTGGGAGGAGTGTGGAGAGGAGAGGGGCTTGGAGGAGAGGAGCTGGGAGGAGTGTGGAGAGGAGAGGGGCTTGGAGGAGAGGGGAGGAGTGTGGAGAGGAGAGGGGCTGGAGGAGTGTGTAGATGGAGAGGAGAGGGGCTGGGAGGTAGTGGAGAGGAGAGGGCTTGGAGGAGAGGGGCTGGAGGAGTGTGGGGGGAGAGTGGCTTGGAGGAGAGGGGCTGGAGGAGTGTGGAGAGGAGAGGGGCTTGGAGGAGAGGGGCTGGGAGGAGTGTGGGGAGGAGAGGGGCTTGGAGAGTGTGGGAGGAGAATGGGGCTTGGTAGAGAGGGCTGGGAGGAGTGTGGCTGGGGGTGGAGTGTGGAGAGGAGAGGGGCTTGGAGGAGAGGGGCTTGGAGGAGTGGGAGAGGGAGAGGGGCTGGGAGGCTGGAGGTGGAGAGGAGAGGGGCTGGGAGGAGTGTGGAGAGGAGAGGGGAGATTGTGAGGAGAGGGGGCTTGTGGAGGAGTGGTGGAGAGGAGAGGGGCTTGGAGGAGAGGGGCTGGGAGGAGTGTGGAGAGAAGAGGGGCTGGGAGGAGTGTGGAGAGAAGAGGGGCTGGGAGGAGTGTGGAGAGGAGAGGGGCTGGGAGGAGCGGAGAGGAGAGGGGCTGGGAGGAGCGGAGAGGAGAGGGGCTGGGAGGAGCGGAGAGGAGAGGGGCTGGGAGTGTGGAGAGGAGAGGGGCTGGGAGGAGTGTGGAGAGGAGAGGGGCTGGGAGGAGTGTGGTGGGGGTACAGAGTGCTGCTATCCCACAGCTCTACTGGTGATGACTGGGGCCTGCTGACTGACTGACAGGACAGGGGAGGGGCCAGAGAGCAGAGCAGCACAGTAACACAGCTTCAAAACAGACCTTTAAAGTGACAGACGCTGTACCTCAGACCAGGATAAGATACCTACTGGAGTACATTATTGAGACCTACAGGCCTCAAGTGTTTGGTGCATGTGTGTTATGAAATAGCAGATGAGAGGTACAGGTAAGTGTGACATTGCCCACTTAGTGTTATTGTGAATTAAATGGGTTTGCATGAAGGGCCCACACTGAAAGCTCACAGGTCAAAGCGACATAGCATGCCAGGCCAAGCCAAAGCAGACATTAGGAAGAGCCAGTCTGGTGCCATAATCAACTTGGTCTAGACTGTATAGGTTTTTTGATTAATCTCTGTGCTTTTAAAGAAAGGATCCAGACTGATGTGGTAAGAATGGAGTGTTATAACAGCCCACCAGTCTGACACCAATCAGAGGGAGCACTGCACACTTTGTCTGGCTCGCCCACACAGGCCCCTGGCTGTGTGACTGTCGAACTCTGTAACCAAGGTGTAGCAACTTTATCTAATGGCTGTTAGTTAGCATTTCCTTCACAGTTGAAAACCTCCTTCATATGTGTAGTCTGGTTCTGAATTCATGCAGCTTGGTTGGACTGTGAGTAGCTAGTAACAGTATTTTCCCTTAGGTGACTAGCTAGTTCCCACCCTTACCCTCTAGACTTACCTTGAAGGCATACTTGCGGCTGATGTGGTCATCAGGCTCCACAGGGGTGATGACATAACTGGGCAGAGGGATGCTCCCCAAGACTGTCTCCTCTCTGCTGTCTAGAGGGACACACACACACACACACACACACACACACACACACACACACACACACAAGCAAGTGATCATTATCACACAATACATAACAACCCACCACACACACCTCACCGCTGGCCCACTGCCTTGACTACCTTAATGATTCTACCGGTTTATAAATAGCATGGCATAACTGCTTCATCAATGCACCATTATGTTCCTGCAGAGGCATGGTGATTCGTGACTGTAGGAAATGTAATTGGTGAGACTTAATTCAAGCATGATTCAAGGAGCCGCTGTGCTCCCCATGTGGTGGCAGGCAGCAGGACAGGAGGCTTATCTCTAGCTCAGTGTGATGAATGGAGGAGAGGTGAAAGAAAGAGGAAAATAGAGATAGAAAGAGACAGAAGAGGAGAGAGAATAGCCTGTGGCAGAACAGAACGTTGTCTAATTGCAGTCATGTCTCTCTGATTGAAAGGTTTAGCTCCACTAAGAAGCAGACGACTTGGAATTAAGAGGACTGGCTCGGATTTCATAACCAAATCAATTCACCCTGGGACTATTTTAATTAGTCTCAATTAAACCCTGGCCCGGTGTGCCTGTGTGACTCACCTTTGTAATAAAACAAGCAGTAGTCGGACAACACAAACCACTTCCTCTTCCACAGTCTCATTCCAGAGCTGTCCTGGAGAGGGAAACACAACATGGAATTTAAGCCCTCTCAGCAATACAACATCACATTCTAATGCACATTTTAATTAAAAACCATAGCTGGGGAATATAGGCTAAAGTACCCATTTACAGGGAGAAGGAAAGCACAAGAAACGTCATACATTGTATTAGAACAGCCAGTAATTGAATTCCATTCAAGTGTTCCCCCTGAACAGAACAGTGTTCATTTCATGATAGGAGCTCCAATAGGTCTAACTAACTCTCCCTAATCAGAATCCTGTTATGAAGGATTCATTAGTGTTCTACATTTACATTTTAGTCATTTAGCAGACGCTCTTATCCAGAGCGACTTACAGGAGCAATTAGGATTAAGTGCCTTGCTCAAGGGCACATCGACAGTGTTCTGCAACCATCATTCCACTGTCTGTCTGTCTAAACACTCCTTATGAGTCGATGGCGTGTTACCATGTCAGGGTCTTAAGTCTCATCCCCTCTGGCCTGCCTCAGGGGTGTTACACCCCTGTGCCAGCCGTGCCAGGGGGCATCAGTCAACAGGAGATAATCACCCTGGGTGTCGTCCTCTAATACCTCACCCCTAAAGAGACATCTCTCTCATGCTCCCTCCGTCCCTCCATCCTCTAGGTAAATAGAGATCCATAATGACAAATGATGACTGTCGTTCCCTGTTTACTCAGCTAGAGTCCACAAGGTCACAGTCATTAATACTGTAGTACATTCTCATAGACGTGGACTCTCATCATTACCTATCCTGAATCATGCATTAAGTGAAAGGCCACTGTAAATGACATGACATAACATGACAGAGATGTAATATTGACCTGAGATTTATGTGTGCTCCCGTTAGAGTGGAGGACAGTTTACCATAAGACCCCAACACACTGCCCTTAGCTATAGCTACAGTGATTGAGTTGTACTCTTAGCCATAACTACAGAGATTACGCTGAACCATCCAGTAGCTACAGTGACTGAGATGGGGTGATGTGGAGGGCTCACCTGTTTGTAGAGCCATCCCCTGACCACCACAGGGATATTGGGGTTCCTCTTGATGGCGTGGTCCCTCTTGCCGAAGCTGTGTACCTTGCCACTACTCCTGGAGCCCTGCGGCTGGCAAAACAAACACGTTGGTTATGAATGGGGTTTCCTTTAAACACCAGCTGCTATTAGCTGCCCAGGGGGCTCAATGGTAAGGAGCTGTGTGAAAGAAATGCGGTATTACAGACACAACCAGTAGGAGCTGGGAAACAGGAGCATGTACAAGCATTTCGCTACACTGCTAAACACGTGTATGTGACAAATAACATTTGATTTGATTTGATTTGAAAACAATATGACCATTGTGTCCCATGTTTAAAGATGGTCCTCTGTAGCTCAATTGGTAGAGCATGGCGCTTGTAACGCCAGGGTAGTGGGTTCGATCCCCGGGACCACCCATACGTAAAAATTTATGCACACATGACTGTAAGTCGCTTTGGATAAAAGCGTCTGCTAAATGGCATATTATTATTATTATTATTATTATTATAAAGAGATCATTAGGCGTTACTGTATGTTTGATGTTCAGATTAAGGTTAAAAACAACCATTTCGATTTTGAGACTGGGGCCCACAAATGTTTGAAGTCAGTTATTTTTTAAACATATAATTTGATCAACTTTCTCCTTCGTGTTTATTTATCTTTTTCTTATTTGATTTAGCTTTAACCTTATAATTTCAGCACATCATATGACAAACAAGCACACTTCACCCAAATGGGAATACAGTATTATAATCATACATTAAGATTTGATGAGGCACATTTTCAAGGCCCACTGGTTTTCTCCCTCCTCTGAATCTCACAGATGATTTTAGATGAATGCTCAACTAAGCCAAATCAGATTGCATCCTAGCAACAGTTGAGTCAGGCTTCCATTTGCTGTTTCCTCCTCCACAGCTGGCAAAAACATGCACTAATTATTGAAGCTACTGTACGGCCAGCTAAGCATGCAGAGCACTAGGAAATCTACACCATGTTTGTCAGGAGAGCCATCAAGAGCACAGCCTTATTTAAGTTGAGCAGATATTAGAAAGCATTGTGTAGTCACATATTCACTGTACTGTGGTTGGAAACTCAACGTTCCCCTTATAGTATACATCGAGAGACAGTGAATGTTAAAGCAAATCTATACTCTACTTATCACTGAGAATGAGCAAGTGGTCATCAATCATGCCCTGCCTGCCACTCTGCTTGAAATGACTGGCACCTCTGATAGCAGACAACACGTTGACATGAGGTCTGATGAAGTGCTGCTTCTAACACAGGTACAACAACCTTAGAGGTACTTTCACAACTGAAGAGGCACTGTTCTATAAGAATACTTATATGCCTAGTGCAGTGCTTAGGGTCCCAGTCAAAGTCAGTGCATGTGTTTGGGAGCTGTGTGTAGCTGAAGAGTGTTGTGGTACTGTGATTGTGTTGATAGGTTGACTGGACATGTGGGTTCTGGCAGGATTGATCGGTTTGAGACAGCTCATATGATGCTGACACAATGCTGTCTCTCGCTCACACGCCTGAAGCATTACTGAGACAGCCAGGAGGTCATTTTACAGCCAGCCAGGCAGGCAGGCGTGTGCTGTTTCTACACTCACTAATGTCAACACCAGTCAGTCAGACTGGAGAGGCGATAGTGAGTTGGCAGATAGCCATGTCATGCCACCCAGCATGGCCACCCCTCTCTGCCTGGGAGAGCTGGGCCACAGGGGGAGAAGGGAGAGGAGGCTGGCAGGCTTTTTCTGGAAGCTGGAGACAGTCAGGCGTATGTGGCCTGGGAAGGGCCAAGGAAGAGCCACTAAATCACTTTACAGATGGGCTGCTGGGTGTCATGTGAGTACTGGACTGCCAATGTCAGTTGATGTTAATCAAACTGAGAGAGAGTGTTCTGGAGGAGATGAAACCAATTCTCCAGCATGAGCATTAACAGTCTCCCAGTACCCTTAGAAACAATATAAATTCAAACGCTTTACACTGCAATCACTGGACCTAATTGCTGCAACACTGTTGTGGAATAGACCCAAACAAATGAAAAACACTGAGTAAACAATGCTTGCTCATAAAAGAGAGCCGTTTTCTCACCTTTGACCCTGAGGTGGTGTCCACTGTTGATGAGGTCACAGCCTTGGAAGTCTGGCTGACCATACTGGGGGGCCTCTGACTGGGTGGTGACGGTGGCTTGGACATGCCCCGGGACTCTGTCCTGCAGTGGAGGCAGCAAAGAAGGAAATCAATGACATAGACATGAGTGGTCATGCTAGTATCTCACCACCACCACCATTCCTCTGTAGTGGATCTGCCGTACAGGAAGCCAGGGTTCAGTTAAGTGCTGGGCTCTCAGAGAGGAAATGACAACTTCCTGCCACACAACCTGTCACAGCCAATGAAATTGCAGCTATCTTAACAGGCAGGACCTTTTTGTAGCAGCCACTCAAGTAACACTTTGTCTGACACTGTCCCTGGGGCTGGCATGTCTTGTTTCATAAGATGACTTGTAATACGACCAAGAGCTTTTCCACATCCACATAACCTCCAACACAAAGACCCAGAGCAGAGATACCAGAGCTACCCCAGATGAGCTTCCTCATGATCAAATATCCACTCTCTCTCTTTCTCGCTTTTCCTTCTCTCTCTCTCTCACACACACACACGTACACAAACCCCCCCCCCACACACACATGCACTCGCACACACACACACACACACACACACACACACACACACACACACACACACACACACACACACACACACACACCACACACACACAAACACACAGGGTGTCCTGACCTCCAGACAAAAACGTCTTAATATTTACATCCATTAGATAACACACTCACTCAGCAGAGAACAACCATGCTTTCCAAATTACACCTCACATTTCCTCATGACATCATCACATTGTTACAGCCAGGAACAGTTTTTGTAAGAAATACAATCCGCTCCAGTTCACTGGCATGACATGAAAATCAACCAGCTTCTCTTATCTACAGATGTAGTATCTTAATTTGATCACTCTTTTGTTGCTGAGAATTTTCCTTCCGAGCAGGAAATGCAAACGTATAGTGTTTTCGAGGTTTAAAAAGGCTTCTAAAGTTTGTGTAATTTCCACTTTAAAATGTCAGACTTCATTTGCCCTAACCGAAAATGTATCAACCACTACAAAAAATGTCCATTAATTATAATCCACATAATAATTCACATTTCCTGTTGCTGCAGGATTTTTTTCCTGCTGTAGCAAACTGGCTCAAATTAAGATCCTACATCTGTAACCAGGCTCGCCCAATATTTGGCCTCAAGTACCGCTACTCATAGTACATTCCATTACAGTTTAAGGGCACCTAGGTGGTTGCTCCCTTAGGATAAAGCAGGAATCTGAGGCAGTTATGGAATGCCCAGGCAATGACCAAGGTCACACTGTTACACAGATTGTAGTGAGCATAACGGGAAGCCGCATGGAAACTTCAGCAGGAAGAGGGATTATGGGAAATCTACGTTCCAAGGAGGCCATAGGGGCTTTCTCTTTGTAATGAGGTTCATTAGAACAGAGGAAAGTTCTCAATTAATGTGCCCTTCTACAATTAATTAACGTGCCCCTTCGATAAAAACATAGTATTCCCGAGGGGCTGGGTAAACAAATAATGACACTAATTACAAATGAAGTACTGAGGCATAACACAGCTCCTCCCATCTCCTGATGTCAGATTCAGACAAGTTACTGTATAGGTTCACTGCTCCTGAAGTCAATATAACTCAATTACCAGCTGTAGAGGCTCCAGAGCCTTGTTCAATAGTACTTGAATAATATATGAACTGACAAAATGCTCTCTGACATTGGGAGGCTGAGGAGTGATCAAGTCAAGAACAAATGGGTCTGTTTGTGTTAACAGGTGGTTGTGAGAGTGTATCATTCATCATAGAGGTAGCTATGCCTAATCATTTTACTGCCAGTTTATCTGGGCGTGCTGCTCACACAACATTCTTGATAAGGTCATCCTAATATGTCAGCTATTTACGGTAGGTTCATGAGCAAGAAGTCTGTGTGAGGATGGTACAATGTCTGCAGCCCGTTGAGACAGACTTGCTAGTAGCTCCACTAGGAGGCCCAGTGTATTACATCCCTATCAGGCACGTTTCACTTGTTAGGTTATTTGTGGTGATTTCCTATTCATAGCACATAGTGTAAAGTGAGTGCCGAGTTCAGGAGAAGAGGTGGCTGTGGGATCAGAGTTGCTTAGGGCTGAAATTGAAGCTGTCTTACTGACAGACCAGCCTGTCTGTTAATTAGACTATGCAGAGGATATGCCTGAAACGCAAACCCTCAAACTGACATGCACAGGGCTTGGGATGAACTTTGACATTTTCAAATGACATGTATTACCTATGATTAATTGACTGAGTCATTGTGGTACTAACTAAGGGCACAGTTACAGTTTTATTGAAATGACCCCCGCCATAGTTTTACTATAATAGCGACTATAAATACTAATGTTAGTAGTCTGTCAGTAGCAGTCTTAACCACAGACACACTGTAAAGCCTTAGAGAGCAAGCTGAGGTCCTCTCCATTGCCCATGTGTCCCTGCCATGTCAGTGGTGTGTTTGTGTGTATAGGAAGCTTCACTCAGAGGTTCATGCCTCTGTGACACCCAGACAGCCATGAAAGTGCCACCTACACGGAGCCGTCCATGCTGGGCATCACTCACAGAACTCACTGCTCTCTGGAACCAAAGACGCAGAGGCTGTGATGTTTAGAGAGCCGGTGGCTGTAGGTTCACTTCAAAGCAAGTACTCAAGAAGATTGAACTAAACTGAATAGGCCTATTGTCCTCATTGTTATACATTACAGACATTGGATTTCTGAAAAGTACCTCCTCTGGCATAATAGAGTGCTCTTCCTCAGTGTAAGTGTGTGCTTATACTAGGAAACCGTGCTTGACCGCCCACTCCACCACTACATCCACTGGACCCCTGCATTGTTCTGCCTGAGCATGAAAGATGTTGTAACTAGTGTTTTTTCCTGTCGGCCATGCCGTGTTCCTGTGCAGCTTCGGAAGAGGAGAGGTGTTGGGATGTGTCTATGGCCAGGGCAGGCTGGGGCAGGACATAAAAACAGGCAGAAAAAAAGGAGGCACAGCCAAAGGAGAGAGACTGACCATGGAACTAAAACACAACTGTTCCAACTCTCTGGATCCCATCCAACATCTTTACAGTACGTTTCCCTCTGCACCAAGGGGATCCTCGCCTGTTTTATATGCAGCTTTCATGCTGTCTACCTCTGCTGTCTTTTGAAACATTCCCTGGGAGATTTGCTGTGGGATGTGGCAGAGGAAAGGAGCAATATTTCACATCAGAGAGAAAGAGGGAGAGATCCAGGCCTGGGGCCAAATAGGTTACCTACCACCTGAGAGGAATGGCCACAGCAGCAGCCTATTCCCAGCAAACACTGCAGGCTGCAGCCCAAGTCCAGCCCAGTCTTAGCCCAGCCTCAGCAACAGTTCTGCTACAGAGCAGGAATACAGCAGCGCAGAGATCAGACCACAGCAAACCCAGATCTCTCCTCTGTGATAGCCACAGAGCACAAAGGAAGGAGGAGCTCTCTCTCTCTCTGTCTCTCTCTCTGTCTCTGTCTCTGTCTCTGTCTCTGTCTCTGTCTCTGTCTCTGTCTCTGTCTCTGTCTCTGTCTCTCTCTCTCTCTCTCTCTCCTCTCTCTCTACTCTCTCTCTCTCTCTCCTCTCTCTCTCTCTCTCTCTCTCTCTCTCTCTCTCTCTCTCTCTCTCTCTCTCTCTCTCTCTCTCTCTCTCTCTCTCTCTCTCTCTCTCTCTCTCTCTCTCTCTCTCTCTCTCTCTCTCTCTCTCTCTCTCTCTCTCTCTCTCTCTGAGAATGCCAAGCGTGTGCAAAGCTTTCATCAAGGCAAAAGGTGGCTACTTTGACACTTTTTTGGTTCCTACATCATTCCATATGTGTTATTTCATAAATTTGATGTCTTCACTATTATTCTACAATGTAGAAAATACTAAAAATAAAGAAAAACCCTTGAATGAGTAGGTGTGTCCAAACTTTTGACTGGTACTGTATATACACTGCTCAAAGAAATAAAGGGAACACTTAAACAACACATCCTAGATCTGAATGAATGAAATAATCTTATTAAATACTTTTTTCTTTACATAGTTGAATGTGCTGACAACAAAATCACACAAAAATTATCAATGGAAATCAAATTTATCCACCCATGGAGGTCTGGATTTGGAGTCACCCTCAAAATTAAAGTGGAAAACCACACTACAGGCTGATCCAACTTTGATGTAATGTCCTTAAAACAAGTCAAAATGAGGCTCAGTAGTGTGTGCGGCCTCCACGTGCCTGTATGACCTCCCTACAACGCCTGGGCATGCTCCTAATGAGGTGGCATCTGCCAACTCTTGGTGGATGGAGCAAGACATGATGTCCAAGATGTGCTCAATTGGATTCAGATCTGGGGAACGGGCGGGCCAGTCCATAGCATCAATGCCTTCCTCTTGCAGGAACTGCTGACACACTCCAGCCACATGAGGTCTAGCATTGTCTTGCATTAGGAGGAACCCAGGGCCAACCGCACCAGCATATGGTCTCACAAGGGGTCTGAGGATCTCATCTCGGTACCTAATGGCAGTCAGGCTACCTCTGGCGAGCACATGGAGGGCTGTCAATGCCACCCCACACCATGACTGACCCACCGCCAAACCGGTCATGCTGGAGGATGTTGCAGGCAGCAGAACGTTCTCCACGGCGTCTCTAGACTCTGTCATGTCTGTCACATGTGCTCAGTGTGAACCTGCTTTCATCTGTGAAGAGCACAGGGCACCAGTGGCGAATTTGCCAATCTTGGTGTTCTCTGGCAAATGCCAAACGTCCTGCACGGTGTTGGGCTGTAAGCACAACCCCCACCTGTGGACGTCGGGCCCTCATACCACCCTCATGGAGTCTGTTTCTGACTGTTTGAGCAGACACATGCACATTTGTGGCTTGCTGGAGGTCATTTTGCAGGGCTCTGGCAGTGCTCCTCCTGCTCCTCCTTGCACAAAGGCAGAGGTAGCGGTCCTGCTGCTGGGTTGTTGCCCTCCTACGGCCTCCTCCACGTCTCCTGATGTACTGGCCTGTCTCCTGGTAGCGCCTCCATGCTCTGGACACTACGCTGACAGACACAGCAAACCTTTTTGCCACAGCTCGCATTGATGTGCCATCCTGGATGAGCTGCACTACCTGAGCCACTTGTGTGGGTTGTAGACTCCGTCTCATGCTACCACTAGAGTGAAAGCACCGCCAGCATTCAAAAGTGACCAAAACATCAGCCAGGAAGCATAGGAACTGAGAAGTGGTCTGTGGTCATCACCTGCAGAACCACTTCTTTATTGGGGGTGTCTTGCTAATTGCCTATAATTTCCACCTGTTGTCTATTCCATTTGCACAACAGCATGTGAAATGTATTGTCAATCAGTGTTGCTTCCTAAGTGGACAGTTTGATTTCACAGAAGTGTGATTGACTTGGAGTTACATTGTGTTGTTTAAGTGTTCCCTTAATTCTTTTGAGCAGTGTATATATGTGCCTTCAGAAAGTATTCATACCCCTTCACCTATTCCACATTTTGTTGTGTTACAGCCTGAACTCAAAATATATATTTTTTCTCACCCATCTACACACAATACCCCAGAATTATAGATTTAAGTAAAAACTGTAACTCGGCCACTCAGGAACATTCACTGTCTTCTTGTTAAGCAACTCCAGTGTAGATTTGGCCTTGTATTTTAGGTTATTGTCCTGCTGAAAGGTGAATTAATCTCCCAGTGTCTGGTGGAAAGCAGACTGAACAAGGTTTTCCTCTAGGATTTTACCTGTGTTTAGATCCATTCTGTTTATTTTTTCTCCAGAAAAACTCCCCAGTCCTTAATGATTACAAGCATACCCATAACATGATGCAGCCATCACTATGCTTGAAAATATGGAGAGTGGTACTAAGTAATCTGTTGCATTAGATTTGCCCCAAACATTCAGTTGAAGTCGGAAGTTTACATACACCTTAGCCAAATACATTTAAAATTCCTGACATTTAATCCTCGTAAAGTAAGTTAGGATCACCACTTCATTTTAAGAATGTGTAATGTCAGAATAATAGTAGAGAGAATTATTTATTTCAGCTTTTATTTCTTTCATCACATTCCCAAATATTTTGGGTAGCCTTCCACAAGCTTCCCACAATAAGTTGGGTGAATTTTGGCCCATTCCTCCTGACAGAGCTGGTGTAACTGAGTCAGGTTTGTAGGCCTCCTTGCCCGCACACGCTTTTTCAGTTCTGCCCACAAACTTTCTATAGGATTGAGGTCAGGGCTTTGTGATGGCCACTCCAATACCTTGACTTTGTTGTCCTTAAGCCATTTTGCCACAACTTTGGAAGTATGCTTGGGGTCATTGTCCATTTGGAAGACCCATTTGCGACCAAGCTTTAATTTCCTGACTGATGTCTTGAGATGTTGCTTCAATATATCCACATCATTTTCCTTCCTCATGATGCCATCTATTTTGTGAAGTGCACCAGTCCCTCTTGCAGCAAAGCACCCCCACAGCATGATGCTGCCACCTCTGTGCTTCACGGTTGGGATGTTGTTCTTCGGCTTACAAGCCACCCCCCTTTTCCTCCAAACATAACGATAGTCATTATGGCCAAACAGTTCTATTTTTGTTTAATCAGACCAGAGGACATTTCTCCTAAAAGTACGATCTTTGTCCACCGTAGTCTGGCTTTTTTGTGGCGGCTTTGGAGCAGTGGCTTCTTCCTTGCTGAGCGGCCTTTCGGATTATGTCGATATAGGACTCGTTTTATTGTGGATATAGATACTTTTGTACCTGTTTCCTCCAACATCTTCACAAGGTCCTTTGCTGTTGTTCTGGGATTGATTTGCACTTTTCGCACCAAAGTATGTTCACTCTAGGAGACAGAACGCGTCTCCTTACTGAGCGGTATGACGGCTGCATGGTCGCATGGTGTTTATACTTGCGTACTATTGTTTGTACAGATGAACGTGGTACCTTCAGGCGTTTGGAAATTACTCCCAAGGATGAACCAGACTTGTGGAGGTCTACAATTATTTTTCTGAGGTCTTGGCTGATTTCTTTTGATTTACCCATGATGTCAAGCAAAGAGGCACTGAGTTTGAAGGTAGGCCTTAAAATACATCCACACCTCCAATTGACTCAAATGATGTCAATTAGCCTATCGAAAGCTTCTAAAGCCATAACATCATTTTCTGGAATTTTTCAAGCTGTTTAAAGGCACAGTCAACTTAGTGTATGTAAACTTCTGACCCACTGGAATTGTGATACAGTGAATTATAAGTTAAATAATCTGTCTGTAAACAATTGTTGGAAAAATTACTTGTGTCATGCACAAAGTAGATGTCCTAACCGACTTGCCTATAGTTTGTTAACAATAAATTTGTGGAGTGGTTGAAAAACAAGTTTTAATGACTCCAACCTAAGTGTATGTAAACTTCCGACTTCAACTGTAACACATTGTATACAGAACAAAATGTTAATTGCTTTGCACATTTTTTTGCAATCTTACTTTAGTGCCTTGTTGCAAACAGGATGCATGTTTTAGAATATTTGTATTCTATACGTGCTTCCTTCTTTTCACTCTGTCAATTAGGTTAGTATTGTGGAGTAACTACAATGTTGTTGATCCATCCTCAGTTTTCTCCTATCACAGTAATTAAACTCTGTAACTGTTTTGAAGTCACCATTGGCCTCATGGTGAAATTCCTGAGCGGTTTCCTTCCTCTCTGGCAACTGAGTTAGGAAGGACACCTGTATCTTTGTAGTGACTGGGTGTATTGATACACCATCCAAAGTGCAATTAATAACTTCACCATACGCAAAGGGATATTCAATGTCTGCGTTTTTTATTTTGACCCATTTACCAATAGGTGCCCTTCTTTGCGAGGCATTGGAAAACCTCCCTGGTCTTTGTGGTTGAATCTGTGTTTTAAATTCACTGCTTGACTGAGGGACTTTACAGATAATTGGATGTGTGGGGTACAAAGACGAGGTAGTCATTCAAAAATCATGTTAAACACTCGACACACAAGTGAGTCCATGCAACTTACTATCTGACTTGTTAAGCACCTTTTTACTCCTGAACTTATTTAGGCTTGCCATATATATATATATATATATTTATTATGGCCCTGTCACTGAGTCTGTCATTACTAAATGTGCCTGCCTGTCCATCCTGTACCCATCCTACACCACAGAGGGAATACAGGAGAGGGAACCTACTTTCACATCCAGATCTGAGTCTCAGCATGGGTGACATCCACACCCTGGCTGCCACAGCATCCAACCACATTAATCTGCCCTGGCTGTCTGTTTGGGCTATGCAGGCCAGGGCGAAGGCATCATCACTGCATAACACACATGCTTCTCCCTGGGTGCATCAGTACCCCAGCTGTTACGATGCTCTATTTCCACAACTAAAGTATGACTGGGAGGAAGGGATAGAGAGATACAGGGGGGACGAAGAAGGGAAAGGGAAAGCAAGTCGGCCGTAGTATAAATAGCAGCCAGCAGAGAGTCAAGGGGCTTCATAAGTCCTGCTACTTTAGCTCCTTCTACCCCTGCACACCACAGGCATCTTAAAGAGGAAAAAGAGGAATGCCAAGAGGGTGATATTTCTCCTAACAGACTGGCTGTGAGATAGACATTCTATAGCCTACCATACACCCCCTACTCAGTGGTAGAGTCCATCAGCATACAGTGGGGGCAGGGATGTACCACTGAACAGGTGGCATGGGGTGAGAGTTCAAGGTTGTGTCACTTGGGTGGCTGTGAACTCTGTGGGATAATAACCTCCCCCAGTGTTTTTCTGTGTGTGTGTGTGTGTGTGTGTGTGTGTGTGTGTGTGTGTGTGTGTGTGTGTGTGTGTGTGTGTGTGTGTGTGTGTGTGTGTGTGTGTGTGTGTGTGTGTACAGTGAAAGTAGCCCCGACTGTAACTCAGGTCCCACACACACAGTCTCTAATGAGGGGCATCAATCAGGCCGTTGCAAGAGTATTAGGCTGCCTGTCTCCTACCTGTGAGAGATGGGCTTGATGGGCCTCTGTGATATTCCCATAATGATCCAAACATTTTCAAATCTATGATCTCTGTCATAGCTGCATGATTTTATTGTACTGGAAAGAAGTCTATGGTAGACTAGGATTGGGGGAGCTTCTGATGATGACATTTTAAGGACTGATGATAATGTGAAATGTATCAACAGTAAACTATGACAATGGACAGAGGACATTAATTATGCTATTTAAATACATGTGATTCGTCACATATTCTTGTGGGAAGTATGATGCTATTCTAAGCCTGGCTGGTCTATTGAGCTTTGATCTGGTATTAGATAGTAATAGAATAATGCAGTTACTGTGGCCCCTACAGTGCAGGGAATATGCAAGGCAGGGCACTTTAACTTTCAAACCCCCTGATGGTGTACAAATCCCTGGCTCAACAGTACCATATGAGGGATATAGGAGTGGAGAAGAGAGGAATCCCAATGAGCTTCATGTCACTCCTATAAATTACCTTTCAAACACAGCGACAGTGGAGATCAGATACCACTCTCGACCCTCTCTGCTACACTAACACATTGAGCTATGCATCCTAAAGCCTACATAACACCACCTTAATTATGTTGTGACACCTGTCATACACATTTATAACAGAAAGATAAAGGACTCAAATGTGGTCCTGCTATGGTTCTAATCCATCATAATGAAAGTGTAATAACATCAGGGCCATTTATCATGAATAATTAACATGAAAGTCATGGTACAGATGTAGGATCTTAATTTGGCCTATACTGTCACAACAACACAATCCTGCAGCAACAGGATTTGAACGTTTAGTCCATAATGTTGCTTGATCGGTGGTTAGGCTATTAGCTGGCCAAAAGTTGGCTACATGAAAAGTGCAATACTGCTAGTATAACCGTGTGTTAGTGTGGGTTTTCAGTGAATTTATGTAAATCGTGAAGCTCATCTGCATTTCACAACAACAAAACAGAACAATTCTCAGCAACAAAAGAGTGATCAAATTAAAGATCCTTCCTCTGTATGTCAGGAATGTCATGCCATGTCATCTCACATGTTTTAGAGGCACTTACAAGCAAGCTCTACAACGCTACAACTTAAAGATAAGCATATTACCAAAAACATGGTCATCCACTGAAGTCCATCCAGTTCTAAAAATAGTTTCAGTACATCTAGGTCAAACCATATCTATGCATGTGTCGCTAAACCTAGGTCCCATGCTATTCAACCTCATCACACCACCTGGGTCTCCACCATGACCGTACCACCCAAACAGTTCAACACAATCAACTTCATGACTGCAGCTATAACCTGCAGAAAATACTCTATACAGTGGGGGAAAAAAGTATTTAGTCAGCCACCAATTGTGCAAGTTCTCCAACTTAAAAAGATGAGAGAGGCCTGTAATTTTCATCATAGGTACACGTCAACTATCACAGACAAAATGAGAAAAAAAATCCAGAAAATCACATTGTAGGATTTTTAATGAATTTATTTGCAAATTATGGTGGAAAATAAGTATTTGGTCAATAACAAAAGTTTCTCAATACTTTGTTATATACCCTTTGTTGGCAATGACACAGGTCAAACGTTTTCTGTAAGTCTTCACAAGGTTTTCACACACTGTTGCTGGTATTTTGGCCCATTCCTCCATGCAGATCTCCTCTAGAGCAGTGATGTTTTGGGGCTGTCGCTGGGCAACACGGACTTTCAACTCCCTCCAAAGATTTTGAATGGGGTTGAGATCTGGAGACTGGCTAGGCCACTCCAGGACCTTGAAATGCTTCTTACGAAGCCACTCCTTCGTTGCCCGGGTGGTGTGTTTGGGATCATTGTCATGCTGAAAGACCTAGCCACGTTTCATCTTCAATGCCTTTGCTGATGGAAGGAGGTTTTCACTCAAAATCTCACGATACATGGCCCCATTCATTCTTTCCTTTACACGGATCAGTCGTCCTGGTCCCTTTGCAGAAAAACAGCCCCAAAGCATGATGTTTCCACCCCCATGCTTCACAGTAGGTATGGTGTTCTTTGGATGCAACTCAGCATTCTTTGTCCTCCAAACATGACGAGTTGAGTTTTTACCAAAAAGTTCTATTTTGGTTTCATCTGACCATATGACATTCTCCCAATCCTCTTCTGGATCATCCAAATGCACTCTAGCAAACTTCAGACGGGCCTGGACATGTACTGGCTTAAGCAGGGGGACACGTCTGGCACTGCAGGATTTGAGTCCCTGGCGGCGTAGTGTGTTACTGATGGTAGGCTTTGTTACTTTGGTCCCAGCTCTCTGCAGGTCATTCACTAGGTCCCCCCGTGTGGTTCTGGGATTTTTGTTCACCGTTCTTGTGATCATTTTGACCCCACGGGGTGAGATCTTGCGTGGAGCCCCAGATCGAGGGATATTATCAGTGGTCTTGTATGTCTTCCATTTCCTAATAATTGCTCCCACAGTTGATTTCTTCAAACCAAGCTGCTTACCTATTGCAGATTCAGTCTTCCCAGCCTGGTGCAGGTCTACAATTTTGTTTCTGGTGTCCTTTGACAGCTCTTTGGTCTTGGCCATAGTGGAGTTTGGAGTGTGACTGTTTGAGGTTGTGGACAGGTGTCTTTTATACTGATAACAAGTTCAAACAGGTGCCATTAATACAGGTAACGAGTGGAGGACAGAGGAGCCTCTTAAAGAAGAAGTTACAGGTCTGTGAGAGCCAGAAATCTTGCTTGTTTGTAGGTGACCAAATACCTATTTTCCACCATAATTTGCTAATAAATTCATTAAAAATCCTACAATGTGATTTTCTGGATTTTTTTTCCTCCATTTGTCTGTCATAGTTGACGTGTACCTATGATGAAAATTACAGGCCTCACTCATCTTTTTAAGTGGGAGAACTTGCACAATTGGTGGCTGACTAAATACTTTTTTTCCCCACTGTATATCGCTCTCTGATAAAAAATAAAAAAACTATGTGGTAATAATAGCCATCTTTAGCATAACAACTGTGACGTTTCAGACAGATGAATGGCTTCAGGCGTGCCATGGCCACAGTCAAAGACATAATGTGAACCATAGTTGGCTCATTACCATCAATTCAATTAAGATAATACCTTCAAAATACACACAAAAAATTGGACTGGGAGCAGCCGTTACGCGAGTTCAAGCAGTTATGAAACTATTTCCATAAAAAATAGAATGGCCAACATCCTTTTTATTCGTTTTATCATCATTATTATTGTTTTCATTACTATGACTGGAGTTAATAGAAAGCATTACCTCAGGCAGTCAATTCCTGTCTGTCCCTCTCATCCCTGGGACAAGCAGCAGACAATCACACACTCTAATCTGAGTTAAATTACACTCTATTCTCATCTCCTCCCAGCATGCCCTTGACCAACCAGACGTTACACTGAATCCCACATTATACAGTGGGGGAAAAAAGTATTTAGTCAGCCACCAATTGTGCAAGTTCTCCCACTTAAAAAGATGAGAGAGGCCTGTAATTTTCATCATAGGTACACGTCAACTATGACAGACAAAATGAGAAAAAAAAAATCAGAAAATCACATTGTAGGATTTTTAATGAATGTATTTGCAAATTATGGTGGAAAATAAGTATTTGGTCAATAACAAAAGTTTCTCAATACTTTGTTATATACCCTTTGTTGGCAATGACACAGGTCAAACATTTTCTGTAAGTCTTCACAAGGTTTTCACACACTGTTGCTGGTATTTTGGCCCATTCCTCAATGCAGATCTCCTCTAGAGCAGTGATGTTTTGGGGCTGTCGCTGGGCAACACAGACTTTGAACTCCCTCCAAAGATTTTCTATGGGGTTGAGATCTGGAGACTGGCTAGGCCACTCCAGGACCTTGAAATGCTTCTTACGAAGCCACTCCTTCGTTGCCCGGGTGGTGTGTTTGGGATCATTGTCATGCTGAAAGACCTAGCCACGTTTCATCTTCAATGCCTTTGCTGATGGAAGGAGGTTTTCACTCAAAATCTCACGATACATGGCCCCATTCATTCTTTCCTTTACACGGATCAGTCGTCCTGGTCCCTTTGCAGAAAAACAGCCCCAAAGCATGATGTTTCCACCCCCATGCTTCACAGTAGGTATGGTGTTCTTTGGATGCAACTCAGCATTCTTTGTCCTCCAAACATGACGAGTTGAGTTTTTACCAAAAAGTTCTATTTTGGTTTCATCTGACCATATGACATTCTCCCAATCCTCTTCTGGATCATCCAAATGCACTCTAGCAAACTTCAGACGGGCCTGGACATGTACTGGCTTAAGCAGGGGGACACGTCTTGCACTGCAGGATTTGAGTCCCTGGCGGCGTAGTGTGTTACTGATGGTAGGCTTTGTTACTTTGGTCCCAGCTCTCTGCAGGTCATTCACTAGGTCCCCCCGTGTGGTTCTGGGATTTTTGTTCACCGTTCTTGTGATCATTTTGACCCCACGGGGTGAGATCTTGCGTGGAGCCCCAGATCGAGGGATATTATCAGTGGTCTTGTATGTCTTCCATTTCCTAATAATTGCTCCCACAGTTGATTTCTTCAAACCAAGCTGCTTACCTATTGCAGATTCAGTCTTCCCAGCCTGGTGCAGGTCTACAATTTTGTTTCTGGTGTCCTTTGACAGCTCTTTGGTCTTGGCCATAGTGGAGTTTGGAGTGTGACTGTTTGAGGTTGTGGACAGGTGTCTTTTATACTGATAACAAGTTCAAACAGGTGCCATTAATACAGGTAACGAGTGGAGGACAGAGGAGCCTCTTAAAGAAGAAGTTACAGGTCTGTGAGAGCCAGAAATCTTGCTTGTTTGTAGGTGACCAAATACCTATTTTCCACCATAATTTGCTAATAAATTCATTAAAAATCCTACAATGTGATTTTCTGGATTTTTTTTCCTCCATTTGTCTGTCATAGTTGACGTGTACCTATGATGAAAATTACAGGCCTCACTCATCTTTTTAAGTGGGAGAACTTGCACAATTGGTGGCTGACTAAATACTTTTTTTCCCCACTGTATATCGCTCT